CACAAGGCTACATGGATCTCACCGGACCACACTACAGAGAACCAAATAGATCATATTTGCATCAACAAAAAATTCCGAAGGACAATGGAAGATGTGAGAACCAGGAGAGGTGCTGACGTAGCTTCAGATCACCACCTAGTTGTAGCCAATTTGAAACTGAAGCTAAAAAAGAACTGGACAACTGGACAAACAGCAATACAAAGGTTCAATACAGCCTTCCTTCGAGATACTGTCAAATTCAATGAATTCAATATTGCTCTCAGCAACAGTTTACAAGCCTTACAAGATCTACTGAAAGAAGAAGAAACTACTATGAAGGACAACTGGAAAGGCATCAAGGAAGCATTAACTTCAACGTGTCAAGAGGTTCTGGGTCTAAAGAAATACCATCATAAGGAATGGATCTCTACAGAAACACTGGACAAGATCAAAGAAAGGAAGAACAAGAAGGCAGCAATAAACAACAGCCGAACACGAGCAGAGAAAGTCCAAGCACAAGCTGAATACATAGAAGCAAACAAACAAGTGAAGAGGAGCATTAGAGCCGACAAGAAGAAATACGTTGAAGAACTAGCAACGACGGCAGAAAAAGCTGCTAGAGAAGGAAATATGAAACAGCTTCACGATACAACGAAGAAACTATCAGGGAAATACAGTAAACCAGAGAGGCCGGTCAAAGACAAAGAAGGCAAGCCAATCACCGAAATTCAACAACAGCGTAACAGATGGGTAGAATACTTCGAGGAACTCCTGAATAGGCCGGCTCCAATGAATCCACCGAACATCGAAGCAGCACACATAGATCTTCCTATAGATGTCAATCCACCAACTACGGAAGAAATTAGAATGGCCGTCAGACAAATCAAGAACGGGAAAGCAGCAGGACCCGACAACATACCAGCTGAAGCACTGAAATCAGACATCGAAGCAACCACAAGCATGCTTTATCTTCTATTCAAAAAGATTTGGGAGGAGGAACAAGTGCCGATGGACTGGAAAGAAGGACACCTCGTCAAGATTCCAAAGAAAGGAGATCTGAGCAAATGTGAAAACTACAGAGGCATAACACTACTGTCAATACCAGGGAAAGTCTTCAACAGAGTGTTGCTGAACCGGATGAAGGATGCAGTAGACGCCCAACTTAGAGATCAACAAGCTGGATTCCGTAAGGATCGGTCGTGCACAGACCAAATTGCAACACTACGGATCATCGTCGAACAATCAGTTGAGTGGAACTCATCACTATACATCAACTTCATTGATTGTGAAAAGGCATTCGACAGTGTAGATAGGAAGACATTATGAAAACTTCTCCGACACTACGGAGTTCCTGAGAAGATTGTCAATATTACCCGGAACTCATACGACGGACTACAGTGCGAAGTAGTGCATGGAGGACAGCTTACAGATACATTCCAAGTAAGGACCGGAGTCAGACAAGGCTGTTTACTCTCTCCCTTCCTCTTTCTTCTGGTGGTCGACTGGATTATGAAGACCTCAACATCTGAGGGAAAACACGGAATACAATGGACAGCTCAGAATCAACTAGACGATTCGGACTTCGCAGATGACCTAGCCCTCCTATCACGTACACACGGACAGATGCAGATGAAGACAGCCAGTGTAGCAGCAGTCCCAGCATCAGTAGGCCTCAGTATACACAAAGGGAAAACCAAGGTCCTCAAATTCAAAGCGGAGAACAGCAATCCAATCACACTTGATGGCGAAACTCTGGAAGATGTAGAGTCCTTCACATACCTGGGAAGCATCATCGATGAACAAGGAGGATCCGATGCAGACGTAAAGGCGAGGATCGGCAAAGCAAGGGTCGCATTCCTACAATTGAAGAACATATGGAACTCAAAACAACTTTCAACCAATATCAAAGTCAGAATCTTCAATACCAACGTCAAGGCAGTTCTACTGTACGGAGCTGAAACTTGGAGAACTACAACAACCACCATCAAGAAGGTACAAGTATTTATAAATAGCTGTCTACGCAAGATACTCAACATCCATTGGCCGGATACCATCAGCAATAGCCTTCTGTGGGAGAGAACAAACCAACTTCCAGCTGAAGAAGAAATTAGGAAAAGACGATGGAAATGGATAGGACATACATTACGCAAATCGTCAAACTGCATCACGAGGCAAGCCCTAACTTGGAATCCTGAAGGGAAGCGAAAAAGAGGAAGGCCAAAGAACACATTGCGTCGGATAATAGAAGCAGATATGAAAACGATGAATTACAACTGGACGAAGCTAGAAAGGATTGCCCAGGACAGGGTTGGATGGAGAATGCTGGTGAGCAGCCTATGCTCTTTCACGAGGAGTAACAGGCGTAAGTAAGTAAGTAAGTAAGCTAAGGCAATCTACGAGAATGACCTCGAGCCTACTCGATTTTGATTGGTTAGTAACCTCTCATTTCACGTTAAAGTCAAACAAACTGGTTGATACCTGATGTAGATGACCTTTTCTTCTCAACCAGACAGTACGGCTAGTTCGATGACTACATTAAAAAAATGTATTTGTGTGAGAAGGTACAAGAAACAGAGTGTGGCCGTTGATTCATGACATGGAATTTATCGATGAGCGTTGGATATCTTTGAACCTGATGAAGATCAACAAACAGTCCGACATTCAGTGACCTGATTGCTGAATGATTTGGATGAGGCACAGTGACATTCCACATGCCCTACAAGTTGAACAATCAGGATTAAGATGGTGCCCCTTGTCTTTTGCACAAAATGTTAACAACATATACAGATAACTCTAAAGATGGTAAAAACATTGTCGTTTTCCAGCAACTTTTGTCATTACTTAAATTCTGCCTAATGACAAGTAGTTCTTACAAACGCCCTTTATATCTATGAATTACTGCTTTAAACCTGACTTTGAATTTCCCAATACCATTTTGATCTATGCTTGCATGTTACATGGGGACGGCCAAGACCTTAATCCATGGTTTTTCGCGCACACGTGACATGATGATGAGGGTTTCGGACGTCGTTACTTGTCAGCTACTAACAGCATTTTTTCAGTCATAGGTAAATTTTCGTAATGTTTGTGATGGTTACATAACTTTCATTACAGTTTATTAGTAGTTTGGCGTAGTTGTTGCTCACAACCTGGAAGAATGTTCAGCCAGCAAAATGTGGTTATTTGTAACAGTGCGAACTCAAGCTAGTGAAATTCATCATTTATCAAGTCAAAAATAGACCACATTCAGGGTTTTATGCAAAAGGGCTCTAAAACCTTTTACATATGACTCACCTCCCTAATTATGGTGGTGATGAACGTAGATGTCGGTAGTTGTTTATGAAATGTAGGTTGGTGCAATTAAGCGTTAAACTATTTATGAATATTATATAATTTGATCATATTCAGCCATAACACAATTCTGTCCATTATAAGTATCGTCGTTTTTGACTGAACTGACACATTCATATGTAACATATCTGAGAAAAAATTATCAGTAACAGATGACGTTGATTGCTTTTTCTGCCCGTTTATGAACATTTACAGGAACTGTGCATAAAATTACTGTAAGAGCCACATTCATTAGTCACATATTCCCCATAAGTAAAGCAATGCGTGTTTGTTTTGAGCGCGGAAACTAAACCATGTTGTAGTTGTTGCAGTTTATGATGTGTCTGTCATATGGTTTACGAATAATATCTAAATACTGCCTACCGGTGATGTTTCAGTTTCATTTCGGAAAGGACAAGAGGCTTTATGGGCTGTCTTAGTCCTGGCAACAGTGGTCTCATTTTATCCAACTTTCTTTAGGAAGAGTCCACTCGTGGAGCTACAACCACGTGCTGTGGTATTGAATTCCATTCGTTGATGGTTCGATGGAAAAGTCGATATTCAGCTGACAAATAATTTGTTCTGGTCTCGTGAACATTTTGGAGTGTCCTCATAAATTCTTTGTTTTGGAAGACAGGTAAAGAGGGGCATATCAGATGTGAATTTATTACTAAGCAATTTGAAAACTGTAATCAAGTCGCCTCAAGTTCTACGATATGACATCTGGAATAGGTTGAGTTTGGCCAGTCGAGCAGCATACAACAGCTTTGTTATTCTGGGGATCAGCCTTGTTGCTGTTCTCCAACCCTTTTCCAAAAGCTCTCTGTCTTTTTCATGCGGGGCCTTGCAGCTTGTATGTAGTACTCAAGTTTAGGACGCACGAACACTGCATACAAGGTCAAAAAAGTTTTAACATAGACATGACCAAAAGCCCTACGTTTTAACCATAAGGTTCTAGAACCTTTGTTGGTCATTTCACAGTAGTGCAGCAGTCTTTAAGTCTTGGTTAACGATGACTGCCAAGTCATTATGTGTCTGGACAACGAGTAGTTCAGCGTTATTCATCGCGTATGTATCTGCACCTTGATGACCGATATTCATCAAAATACACTTGGAAGTATTTGTCTGCAACTGATGGGGTCGAGACCATTCAAATAATTTCTCCAGGTCATTTTGGATTTCTGAGCTGTCACCCTTACATCGCATCGCTCTCCATATCTTGACCTCATCAGCATACAGCAAGACAAATGATGATAGGAGACGAGGAAGTTCATTTACATACAAAATGAATAGCACTGGCCTCAAAACTGCACCCTGAGGCACTCCACTAAGCACAGTTTACCAGCTAGATAACTTTGAGTTCACCCGTACTCTTTGTTTGGGTCTATTGTCCAGTCTACTAACGATGCTGAGTGCATGATATCTGGTATGTTTGCTTTCCAGACGTTAGGTCTGGATTGAGCTAACGCGTGCTCGTGATTGACAGTTATATGGGTTACGAAGCAACAATCAATCCAACTTGTATACTACAAGACAGAGGGAGTTAAATCAATGTTCTTCTCAAGGATTTTGTGGTTTTGCTGCAGCAAAAGACCACGAAAATATGAGAACACCTAATATTTGTCCTTCCCAACGGACACCCAACAAACACACAGTAATCGAAATACAGATTGACCTCCTCTTGCCAGTCTGTTCAAGGTCGTTTTAACGAAACGGCGGTCGACTCTCAAAAGAGCTAACGTGTTACAGGTACGGTCACAGGATTACTGTCGTCCATTCACTCATTGTTTTTATTTAATTAACTTACCATGTGCACTCATAGATTTTATTTTTGCCTTCTTTTTCAATTTATTTTTGATATACTTTACTTTGGATTACGAACCGTATGTGGAAATAATAATTATTTATCATAATTGTAGATCTCATGGTCAAAAACCAAAGCCTCTGCATCTGACAATGAAAGTAATGTCCGGAAATTTTTATCTGCGATTTGCGTTTTTGTATATGATTAAGTACTCTACATTTTCTGTGATAAATCAATTAGTTTCCTCTTATTGATATTTTTGGTCGTCGACATAACTTGTACAGTACTTTCAAAGAAGTCGAAGTTCGCAATTCGTTTTAAATTTGGTCGAGATTTGTAAGGCCTATGATGCATCCCTAAAGTGAGTCTAAGATGACCTTTAAGCAAATTTAAGGAATGTAAATACTCTTTCGGGAGATTGTATTCTAAAGTACTTGATGTGACTCAGTGATTAATCACGAGTGTTTAGTGAAGCCAGATAGTATTCTTCTTCTCGCTGTAAACACCAAACCTAAGTTTCTCAAATTCGTAAACAAAAGGTTGGCAAAACATTGCATTGTAACTCATGTCATTACGTGAAAACCCTTACTCAGAACTCCAGGTTGCCTCATTGTGGCTGTGACTGACAGACGATATATTAACTTTAAAAAATCTTTGCTATGGTCAAAAATCGGCTGTAAATTAGTGAGAAATTAGAGTCTGGGTTTTTCGATGATATATTGCCATTATTTATGATTCCTAAATGCTAATTAGCCATATAGATGAGTGGATTTTGCTCCAAAGTACAGGAATCATTACGGCGAGACTATAATTCTTGGACAAACCAATCTGATTTAGGATGAAAGGTCTTAGATTTAGGTGTGTCAGTTCGTGATGAAAAACTATAAATGCAGTTCCTAACCTTAACTACCAATTGTGAATCATAATCTTTATTCTGCAAACTGTTTCATAACCCTCATCTAGCCCTAATAAGTAGGTAGACACCCCCAGGGTCACGGTGTCACTCACAGGTCATCCATAAATTATGGTCACACCGACGAAGTCAAAATAACGGTGACAGATTTCTAACCAATCAGAGAACACGTTGTGTGAATGAATATTTCATGGCAAAATAAATGGCGATGCGAAGGTTAAATAAATTCACATTGTCAGTCCAATAATTTCGATAGTAGTCTTTTAGAGCTGGACTGACCGAATAGCCCTCTCTTATCTCTTCTGGTAATCCATTCATCTTTGTCTACGTAGCATTTTTCTATTATAGTTTATACCAGTTCAGGCTCAAAACTAACATTTGACCCGTAATCTTAATTCTAATGCCAAATTTTAACTAGGTACATTGTAAGAACCCCCAAGTCTTTTCGGGTCACTTTTAAGGTTTAAGAAGACAGACAGTTGATGAGATTAATCCCACGTATGAACGATACCAAAGTGCTTTTGAGAAACTGTATTCACTTGCCATGGTCGAAAGGGGGTTTTAAATTTGTATGAAGAACTAGGATTCGGAGTTCAAGCTTGAGGCTAAGGTTCGGGACTAAAAATTTTTTTTGACACAGCATGATATTAGCTAAAATGCCTAAGTGCTAGTCGAGTGTATTAACCTACTAATTTCATGCCGAGACTCCAGAGTTCCCGTTCTAGATATGATTCCTCTATCCGTAAGTTAAAGTACTACTGGCTGGTCCCTATTCTATACCTTTACCCACATACCTACTGCTAATTCACACTATGGCTAGCCTTCACATCAGGTATTTTGTATGCACTTATATTTTTTTCAAACGATTTTAGAATAATCGCAAAAGTTACATAGCGTTTACTTATTCGTAATTCGGTAGCATAATTTTTCTTCGCTTCTCATCCCATTCATGGTCTTAGCGACTAATAAAGATGACATAGCTCCCCAGACAACGCATTTGGTTTTTTCGCCGAATTTGAGATATCTACTTTCCGATTGTATTGAATATGTGTTCTATCACTTTTCCATAAAGTTGAATTAAAAGAAAATCTGTTTTTACCCAATTCTTACTTTCTGTATTTTCCGTTTCTATTGTATATCACGTAGATGGACATAAATTGCATCATCCAGTCAACAGAAAATCTTCATCTGAATTTGAGTGAACAGAGCAGCAAAAATCTATGCATCAGTGATGATGATGTTAAAAATACAGCTAATTATCTGCTAGGCGATGAATTTGAAAAATCATGGGATACAAACAAGTTGAGTCTTCCTCCTAAAGCATCGCCATTATTCTGCTACAAAGTCTGTAGTGAGCAAAGCTTGTTTGTGGGCGATCATGCTTTTGGTTTTCCTCCTCTTTCACGTAGTGACGTTATGCCCGTACAGTTCACTCACCTCAAATGTCTTACAAAAGGAAACTCGAAAACCGTTTATCAGTAAGGTTATTAACCTTGAAGAATTTATTAATTTCAACCAACATTGTTCATTATCCAACTTCAACCTATCCTATTTTCATGACCTACTTCTTCACTAAATCTGGTTAGTCTCTTGCTAGACGTTGTGCAACACAAAAGCATTCCTTTTTCACTTTTCTGTAGTAGTTTTTTAAAGATTGTGTTTGTCAAGTTGAACGTTATAATCATACGTCTGTAATACCGCTGCAAACAGATGTATAATACTTCAATTTGTTCTTAGTATTTAATAATCTACTTGCGAGTCATCTGTCTGACTAATAACTACTCTCAATAAAGAATGCCTTGCGATATAGTTCAATGACCTTACCTTTCTGTAACCAAGTACATGTCAACTTAATCAGCTATGTGCCAAACACCGTTTCAAAATAAAGTACCTTTGAAAGCAAATAAATATAAAGATACAGTTTAATGTGGTAGTTAGTACTAATTATCGTATTACTCTCTTTATGCTTACTTTCAACTCATTCTTGTGACGTGGAGTTAGCTGTTAGTCAGTCAGCTACAACGTAGGACCAGGCACATATGTGCATCAGTCCAGGTTGCCATACCGCATCAGCACACAAGATGAACACCGGATTCATAGCAGTGGTTAGGTCAAAGGTGGTAATATATAAGGGAAAGATTGCATATAGAGATATAGTACAAGAAGAAAAACTTGGTTCGTAGAAAGAAAGGTATGAAGCGATTTTAATTTCTTAGTTTAAGGGAAGACAGGGAGTGTATACACCGACGCCATTGTGATCGACTCTGAGCCATGTCACCAAGAGTCTCCAACCATTGGTTACGATAGTCACGCGGACCCCAACCAAGTAGTCTGCATCTACCAACATGGCTCAGACTAGAAGTTAGTGACTTCAAGCACTGATGCCACGTTTTGGTTTGGCTGCCCCTAATTTTCTTCCAACCATCTCCAATACCGGATAGCATTGCACGTCGTGGTAATCGGTATTCAGGCATACGTAACACGTGGCCCAACCATCTCAGTCGATGAAGATTCATAACCTCATCAACTGATTTACCATCATTCCCTAATACCATGCGTTTAACCTCACTATTACTTACCCGGTGATCCCAGCAGATGCCAGAAATATTTCTGAGGCATCTGTGGTCAAATACTAATAGCTTACGTGTGTCTTCTACTCTTAATGGCCATGTTTCGCTGCCGTAAATAAAAACAGAACGGACTGCCGCGCAGTATACTCGTCCTTTTATTGATAGACGGATATCTCGCCTTCGCCACAGGTGACGTAAGTTGGCAAAAGCCAAACGAGCTTTTCAAATCCGTGCTGAGATTTCGTCAGACACCAACCCATTAGGGCTGATCAGACTTCCAAGATAAGTGAAGTTGTCAACGCGTTCGACTACTTCACTCCCTATCCTTAGTTCAGGTGTTAACGCAGACCAGTCCTGAAGCAACAACTTGCATTTAGAGGGGAATTAGCTGTCACTGTGCTAATGTTACACTCAAGACAAATGTCACGTCTTTCAAATAAATCACTCAATAAATAAGGTGGATCTCAACTCAGTTTTGAGCTGTTCTGGTTTTATCTGTACAGCGCACATTAATCGACCACTTAGTTATAATCAACCAAAGCTTCAAACCTGACTGAATTCTATCTATCACGTATTTTTCGCCTTGTATAAGTGTCCTTAATGTTATGTTGTTAAGGGTATTCAGCAGGAAACTGTGGATCTAGGTTTTGTGTGTAGTTGACCAACAAGTGACGATTAACACAAAACTGAAATCCAAGACCTGCTAATTGCCCCTAACCACCTCATGCTATAACATTAATACGAAACATTTCTCAATGATTTCCAATTTTTTCAAGTGTTTTTTTTTCATTATTTTACAGAGCGACTTTAAAACTTAAGTCTGGAAAGACATTAGATTACCGTCCAGGTGATAGCATCTCCATATTACCTGAAAATAATGCGCAAACTGTGGCGTGGTTGTTACAGCGTTTAACACTGGATAGTCTACATGATGCCGATACACTTTTCACTCATGAAGTAATAACTACAAAGCATAGAAGCCTCCCTGAATGGTCTCATTTTACTTGTCCACTTTCATTACGATATTTGTTGACGTATTGCTGTGAACTGTATATACCCGTAACACGTCGGATTTTACGATTGCTAGCAGATTATTGTTTTGATGACAATGTCAGCCCTGTCAGTGCAGAAAGACAACGTAACCGACTTTTGGAATTCTCCAGTGCCGAAGGGAAGAAAATGTTTGAAAAGTAAGTATAATATTTACAACCATTCTTCTGGAAGATAGACCAGTCTATAACCGAAAGCAAAAGTAGGTTAATGTTCCTATGCATGGAGAAACATCAATGAACTAAACAAAAAAGAATCAAGAAATATATAGAAGTTAGAAGGATGAATGACGTTTATTGAATGTACCACAATAAGCTTTAGTTATCTCAGTCTAACTTCATATTTCATCATTTATGTATTGTAGACGTCGTTCTAAACTAATCCCCAGTGTCCTAGTGCAAGTATCCATCCATAGATTTATCATGGTAGGACTTGTTATCGAATATTCATACCCATTTTTTTGGAAATAGTGTTAAGGTGATAGTATCAAACTAATGATTTTTTCCTCAGTCCTAGTTCACAATACATTTAAAGTAACTAAACTTAATAAGGTTAATGTTTGTAAGCAATCTACTTACTTACTACTTAAAATATCAACATATTATGGCTGTCTACCAGTTTATTTTAATCTTTTCTTTTCAGGTATATCCAAATACCTGATCTTAATCTCTTGGATATTTTGTCTATATTTTCATGTTGCCGACCATCATTTATTCGATTGTTGGAAATTCTTCCAACACTTCAGCCACGTTCATATACACTCATTAATCCAGTTGATAAACAATTGTCTTGTGAACAAGAACTATCTTTTATTTTCACTAGAGTGGATTTTAAATATCCTGAAAGTGATAAGCATGTAGGTCTTATTGATCGTTATCCATCACGACGTCATGGCACTTGTACCGGTTGGCTTGAAAAAATATGGTTTGGAGTTAATCAACCTGATGACTATCAGAAAGTTAATTTCAACAATATCGAACCTCAGATTATATATATATATTTACGTAAAAATATTACACAATTTTATTTACCAGATAATATCTCCCAACCAGTTATCATGATTGCTGCCGGAAGTGGAATCGCACCATTTATTAGCTTTATAAGACAACGTAAAATCGATAACCTTAAGGTGAGATATTTATTTATTCTTATACGAATATTCGTCAAGATTAGAACGAACAGTTTGACAGAATTTGGGCACCGAGTACAGTGACGACATTTTATTTTGAAATTATGTTCGAAATAATCTCAGCAATTGAAATTTAAAATAATTCCAACGTTTCGTCCAGCTAACTTGTCCAAACTTCTTCAGGATAATGATTAAAATCAAGATCACCAAAGAAATATATAGCGTTGTAACGATCAAATCAAATCTATACTATGCTTAATCTAATCATATTTGGATGCTGATTTTTAGTAAATAGGATAACATGAGTCAGTTACATGGGAATCATGTGAAAAGTTCACGACGTGAAAATAAATGACAAACGAATTATCTGTGTGTATGTGTGTGTAGGATTGAATTATTAATGAATAATACTCGGTGTTAATATGCTTTTATATGAAGGAGAAATAAAGGTGCAAGTTGAAGGTTGAAAAAGTCGTTTCTGAATCATTGAATTGCAAGTAAAATGAGAATAATCAAATACATAATCATATTGCTAAAAATAACTCACATTAATTTCAGTCAAAATAACGATGCATGTGAAATAAACAGGTTAAATAAAGAAAGGGTCCAATTACTTGTCAACGAATATTTGCCAAGTAGTCGCTAGTTGAATACCATCCTTTCGGTTCAGGCTGTTCTTGTTCGCCCATATATACAGGGCTTCTGCTGTCAATCTTTCTTTATGAGTGTTAAAGCCTTTCTGAAGTATCTTGTGTCCTGTTTCTAACGCACGTAACGCGATCGCAGACTTATTCTCAAGTTTCTTTAAGTCAACCGAGGATTTGCGAACATTTTTCAAACACTGTTTGTGTTCCTTCAACCTTCTTGATTTCTTCCGATGTTTCACTACTGTATAGGATGACCACTGTTGACTTCTAATCTTTCAGTATACATTCTAGTGTAATTTTTCTTTCATTTCTAACAATCTTCTTTAAAAACTCTTTTGGGTAGTTGTTATCCCTAATTGTAGACAATACTCTATTCCGTTCAACTTGTTGGTCTTCCTTATCTGTAACTAGTCTAATACTTCTGTTCATTAAGTTTTTTACAACATGGACTTTCGTGCACTGCGCATGAGCCGAACCATAATCTAAGTATCTCTCAGAATGTGTTGATTTCCTGAATACATTTATTTTCAACTTCTTATGATTGTCTTCGTTCAACCAAACAGTCGCGAAACGCTAGTTTGTGGTCAACGGATTCAACTTCCTTCGTTAGCTTAATGCTTTCCGAAATGTTGTTTACATTTTCAAACAATTCTTCTAAGCCATCCCGTATAATGATAATAAAAATGTCATCTACACACCATAACCAGACCTTTAGTGGGCATACACATCTTGTGATTGCACTGGTTTCTAGGGAATGCATAAATAAATTCGCTACAATCGGAGAAACTGGTGAACCCACTGCTATACCTTCTTTCTGTCTGTAAAGGTCTCCTCGAAATGTAAATAAGGTGGATCTTAAGCATAATTCCAAACATTTAATAACTTCAGATGGATCTAATAGGCATCGTAAATTTATATCTGAGTCAGATTCGAAACAATCATAAATAATATCCAACGCTCTATTAACCGGTAAATAAGTGAATAAGGAAGATACATCAAAACTTGCCAAAATTTCATCCTCTTCTACATAGATGGTATCGATAATCTTGAATTCCATATAGTTTTTAATTTCATGATTAATCAGTTTGTCATACGGTTTAAGTATCTTAGCAAAGTATTTCGCTAGATTGTACGTCAGTGAATTTGTAAAATCAACCACTGGTCATAGTGGAGTATTATTCTTGTGAATCTTTGGAAGTCTATAGAATCTACAAGGGTTACAACTCTTTGGTTATAACATAAACCATAATGTCGATTTTAGCTTAACCTTTAACGACTGTAAGACTTTACTGGTTCCAGCCTTAAGTTTATTAAGCGTTGTCCTACTTGTATTTTTTTAATTTGTTCATACGGGCCCTCTTGTAGATCTTCCCTGGTTTTTTTTCTCGTAGTCCGTTTTGTTCATAATAACTGTCGTGTTCCTTTTATCTGCTCTCGTAATGATAATTGTCTTATCATTTCTCAGCTGTTTTAATGCATATAATTCATTTTTAGTTATATTGGAGTTGTGTGATTTCTGATGTAATATCATGGTCATTATTTTATTCCTCAATTCATTCGCTGTTTCACTCGGAAGATAATATTAAAAGGCGTTAATTGAGACACCTTTTGAGTAATGATATTTCGTGGGAATTAAGAATTCTATCAGATAAATTAACGATCAGTTTGCTAAAATCCAGTGTGTTTGATTTATCTTTAGTCTGTTGAACTTTGTTGTTTGATGCATGTTTCAACATTTTTTCGAACTTTCTACTCTGCCGTTGTTTTGACGACAGGTGATAAAACTGTTCTCTGTGTTTGAAAAATTCATTTATATTTGATCTTACATACCTATCAGCTACTAACAGCATTTTTTCAGTCATAGGTAAATTTTCGTAATGTTTGTGATGGTTACATAACTTTCATTACAGTTTATTAGTAGTTTGGCGTAGTTGTTGCTCACAACCTGGAAGAATGTTCAGCCAGCAAAATGTGGTTATTTGTAACAGTGCGAACTCAAGCTAGTGAAATTCATCATTTATCAAGTCAAAAATAGACCACATTCAGGGTTTTATGCAAAAGGGCTCTAAAACCTTTTACATATGACTCACCTCCCTAATTATGGTGGTGATGAACGTAGATGTCGGTAGTTGTTTATGAAATGTAGGTTGGTGCAATTAAGCGTTAAACTATTTATGAATATTATATAATTTGATCATATTCAGCCATAACACAATTCTGTCCATTATAAGTATCGTCGTTTTTGACTGAACTGACACATTCATATGTAACATATCTGAGAAAAAATTATCAGTAACAGATGACGTTGATTGCTTTTTCTGCCCGTTTATGAACATTTACAGGAACTGTGCATAAAATTACTGTAAGAGCCACATTCATTAGTCACATATTCCCCATAAGTAAAGCAATGCGTGTTTGTTTTGAGCGCGGAAACTAAACCATGTTGTAGTTGTTGCAGTTTATGATGTGCCTGTCATATGGTTTACGAATGAATTTCTGTAAATAGAATCCGTGTAACGGAAAAAAAACGATGAAAATCCCCCCGCAGCCTTTTTGTTGGACAGTACTGTCATTTATTTGTTTCTTCTCTCTGTCGTGTATTTTAACCTTTGTTCAGATCTCGTTTAATCACACCTTTTGTTCTTCAGTCTTCATCGTCTGAGCTTTTATTATGTGATTTGATTAAAGACTTATCTTTTGTTACCTGATTTTCTATTGCATGTTGCCGGACTATTGACAGTATGGTCGTGTTTGACTAGGCTCAAGGTCACGGCGTGATTCAGTGTGTGACTGTTAACCTTTTGACTGTCTGCCTGGGAGGATTGCTGGAATCCCTGCAGATAGATATTTGATCCCATTTTGTTGGGAATATTTTTATTGATTCTCAGGTATCGAACCCTTTGGTATTAACTGTTTCTTTTATTGTGTTAGCGCGCTACTTTGCGTTAAAGAAAGTTCTGACTGTATAGCACAGGTTGTACCGTTTGAGGTATTTTGTATTTTTGATATAATTTGTTCCGTTTTCTAAATTAGAACCGTTTAAATTGAGCACAGAGTTTGTGTTTTGATATAATATAATACTAGTGTCTCAAGAACGCCTTGTAAGCTATACAGAAGAAAGTAGTCTGGCCTATTCGAATACATTTTGGTTCGTCAGTCCTGCGTTCAAACCGAATAGTGGCAATTCGGTCGTTACAGTTCTCAAACGAACAGTAATTACTAGTGTTAAACACTGCAGTGCCTGGCGTTTTACTTGCACTTCAATGATTCAGAAACGACTTTTTCAACCTTCAACTTGCACCTTTATTTCTCCTTCATATAAAAGCATATTAACACCGAGTATTATTCATTAATAATTCAATCCTACACACACATACACACAGATAATTCGTTTGTCATTTATTTTCACGTCGTGAACTTTTCACATGATTCCCATGTAACTGACTCATGTTATCCTATTTACTAAAAATCAGCATCCAAATATGATTAGATTAAGCATAGTATAGATTTGATTTGATCGTTACAACGCTATATATTTCTTTGGTGATTTTGATTTTAATCATTATCCTGAAGAAGTTTGGACAAGTTAGCTGGACGAAACGTTGGAATTATTTTAAATTTCAATTGCTGAGATTATTTGAAAGATAATTTTCACATCGAATTATTATTCTTATTCTGGTAATATGGATTTACACAAATTATGCCTTTTGTGCATTTTACTAATTTGTGTTGTGTCAAACTACTCAGTGAATTTTACTTCCGTTTTTAAACCTTTATGAGAAACGAAATATAGCTCCGTGTACTCGACTTTTAGCCATGAATAACAGGTTACTGTCTCTCTGACTGAACTCCTAAAGTTTCCAGGTGTTTTCTATTCCTGTTTATTGACCGGAAATTTCCAACAATTTGAACGGTTACTGCTTATTAGTTTCATACTAATCCTGAATGATGCAATCCTATCATAATTCTTTTAGTATTGAAAAAATCAGGCATAATTTAAACCTTAACTTTTAGTGCATTGTACAAATAAACAGAACCTTCAAATATGATAAATATTTGTTTACAATGTATTAGTAGTTGTGTGTTGAATTAATTAATCATGTTATCGCATCATTTCCCATGTGACCAGTTTTTCCATAGAAATCCTCATAATAAGATTCAGTACATCCATTCAACTGATCATATCCAAATGCAATAAAACTCGTATTAAATCAACGTACTTAAAATATTAACTGATTTGGATACGTGCAACTCCATAACTTTTGTATTGTGATCTTGTTTCAGAAAAATACCTCTACTGGAGATTTGTGGCTAATCTATGGTTGTCGTTCTCCAACGTCTAGTCTCCTATTTGAAAGTGAGCTATCAGATGCAGTAAATTCTAAAGTACTGAAACATCTTTGCTTGTGTTTTTCGAGAGATACTGTAAATTCTCCGGATGAAAAATATGCACTTAAAGAAATTTCGTCAATATTAATTGAACAAGCCTGTTTTCCACTCAAAGCACAGTATGTTCAAGATTGTATCCTTTGTAAATATTCTACTGATTATGAGGTATCCGAGCATGATATTCAACTGATGAATCTTGTTTTCGAAAAAGGTGCTAAAATAATGATTTGTGGAGGACCACGTGCTTTAGCTTTTGGAGTGTATGAGTCGTGGCTGAGACTGCTTGCTATGCGACTTTATTTTGAACGAACACAGAAATGGTGTAAATATTCAGCCATACCTGAAGAGGATTTCATAAATGCTCGGGCATATGTAGATATAATGCGTAAAGCAGAACGATTTCAAGAAGATGTATGGGCTTAACAAAAAATCCCACTTATGATATTTTTACTGTAAATTATTCGTCTATTAATATTTCTTCTTTGCATATATTCCAGTGTGTATAATGTTGTATATTAAACTGTATCACTAAAACGTCCTTTTTCTACAACTTAAACTGAGGGTCACAGGCAAGAGTTACGAATAAAATTATGTGTATATTTAATAACTTTGAAAGTTGTTTGTACTGTATCACAAACTGATTGATATCAACCTATCGTGCTAAGAAGAGTTTGTTTATTATGTCATCTGGATTTGCTACTAAGGTGATTATTAATCCATGATAAAAATACACATTATAAAGTAATAAATAGTTCTTCATTTCTCCTATCTGAAATCAATCAAAGATTTCTTTCAGATTCATAAGTTAACTCATCAACAGTGCAGTATATGGTACGAGTGTGTGTGTTTGTTTGGGTTTCCTTATCAGTTTTAAAAATCCTTTTGGAATGTTTCTAATCGGAATATTCCTTTTTTTTAAATTTATGTAAATAAAAGGATAAATTTATCTAATTTCCTGCTTCAGTTTGGGCGCTCGGGCAGTATTCCAACCTTTACTAGGTTTCAAACATATTCTGTCTCGTGTTATGATCTTCAGTTGGATTGTTTGAATTGTATAAAGTAGATTTTTTAACTGAACAAAACTTTTCCAGTAATCCTTTAATGATTCCCTTTCATAAGGTAGATTTAAGGTAATAAATGAACACATTAAATTCATAAATCTAAACTTGTTAGATGCTTTTTTTCATTTATTTCGTATAAAAGTTTACATAAGAATCATCCTATCCGTTTTGTGTCTGATATAATCACATGTATAAATTTCATAAAATTTGGTGAAATAGTAATCAAAGTGTAAAACTGTCGAAGAAATAACAAACGGTCAACGGAATAATATTTCATATAACTATCTGAAAAGCAGCTTATAGGAAATTTTAACAGAACTATAATCAATAATCATCTCTTTCTTGATAAGCCGTACGATCTCGACTGACTGAAGTACCCGGGTAATATGTTGCTCCTAAACTAAAAGATTAAATTCAAGAGAGAAGTATTATTTCGAAGTTGAGAATTTTGAAATTATTTTAAAAAATAAAGTAAACTACTCAAAATCCGTGCTGACTTGTCTAAGGGTATTGTATTTATGGGACGACCTGAAGATCCTGGGCCTAAGTCTATGTGGAGTCGTCAATGCAAGCTCCTGAAGCATTGCAACGCAAGATAAACAGTTATGTGGTTCTACCTGACTACCGAGGATTCCGCAACTGATGTCGATTCCTGACAAAATCGATCTTCAAAAAAATGGTCAAAGATCCACACAAAATCTTCATTTTCTCAAGTTAAAATTATAGTTTACCATCATCTCACAAAAGATCACTATTTTGCAATGCTGATTATTTTTAGACTAGGAGGAAACAAAGATCTAATGGTTCTCTGGTGTTCAAATGTTTATATGACTGCCCCATGATGAAGACTAACCTCAAAATCCTTTACGTTGAAATATTTTTTTCGTAGCTTATTTACTAAATGTTTTCGATTTCTTCACTAGGGCTAGACATCTTTTTCACTGAATGTTTCCCATATTTCTTTGTCATTTGACATACTGGGTGAAACTAAGTTGTGATTTACTAGTGATCGAAGACAAACACATCCAGATACTGTAAGTGACAACCTTACATTATCAGTTATTCCTTTCGCTAACTTCGTTTTGTGTACTTCTTAATCGTTGATCCAGAAATGAATTTAAGTGTTATGCAACCAGGTGCCTAGTTTAGTGATTGATTGATTTAATATAGTATCCATTGTGAGATTGAAGAGATTCCCATTTTTCATCGTAAAATATGTGTTATCTCATTCCTAGTGATTAGTATTTTGTTGTCTCAATCACTTCATCTATTTGTTCTTTTATGAATTATCAATACATCAGACATTTATAACGTAGTTACATTTGTCGACCATATATTGCCTATATTTCTTCATCTAAACGTGACTAATAAGTCTACATATAAACAAGCAAAAAACGATTTGAAACATTGTCAGCATTTAAGACATCAATAAAAGTATTGTACCTTGAATAGCCTGAAGGTCTATAACCTGCTGGTAAACTGCTTAATCTTAGTTCGGATAAAGCACGTTCTTTCTCAAATCTTTCAGCTGATAAACTTCTTGATAACCGGTTTGCTTCTCGTTCTGTTTCAGCTAATCGTTCTCTTACTTTTTCTACTTCACGTTGAGCCATTTCAGCTCGCTCTTCTGCACTAGCAATTCTGTCGCGTAAAGCAATCACTTCAGTAGTTCTTTCCTGCAATCAAGAAATTTAATCTAGTCATTATGATTCCTAACAAGTGAAATTTTGAAATTTATGTTCAGCACTGAATAATTTTGTATTATCTATGGTACGATTATGAAGGATGGTATATGTTGCTATAACAATTTAGAATCAACCCATGTGTGTTGTGCATAATACCTCAAGTTTTAGATATTTCACATTGCGTAGATTTCATGATAGTATAGAGGTGAAACACTTAATCATTGATGTTAACTAATATTTCGTTACTTTAAATTCGCAGAAATCAGTTCAATGTGTACATCTTTTGAAACAAGTAACCACCACCAGCTTCGATCGTCCCAACCGTGGTGTTCCATTTCTGATCAACGTAAATTTCTATTTATTTAGTGCTGCATCTAGTTAGTCATTTTTGTATCATCACCTTAAATCACTGCCTTGTTAAACAGATTAAACACGTATACGATTTCATTTCCCCATCGAATTCTATATAGATACAACATTGTGCTGGTAAGGAGATAAACCATGTAATGCTCAAGCATCTGAATAGCTTGATTACAAAGCACTTTCATGGACACTTTCAACAATAAAAGCGACAAAACAAGTGCACTGACACAATTAGAAAGTACTTTGAAAGCTTTAAGAACAAAGTACAATATGTTTTGCATAATAAATTTTTTTTAATAATCTTAATTTGAGTATCCATTGGACGAATTAAATAAAAACTGACAACGCTCAGTAGAACTGAATAGGACTTTATTATTCTAATTTGGTCTAAGCAGAGTATTAGTGAATGATGGTTAATCAGTTGATTAGGTTGTGAATCTTCATCGACTGAGATGGTTGGGTCACGTGTCACGTATACCTGAAAACCGGTTACCATAACACGCAATGCTGACTAGTGTTGGAGATAGTTGGAAGAAAGTTAGGGGCGGCCAAACCAACACGTGGTATCAGTGCTTGAGGTCACTAACTTCCGGTCTGAGCCATGCTGGTAGATGCAGACTACTTGATTGGGGTCCGCGTGACTATCGTAACCAATGGTTAGAGGTTCTTGATGACATTGCTTAGAATCAATCACAATGGCGTAGGTGTATACACTCTCTATCTTCCCTTAAACTAAGAGATTAAAATCCCTACATATCTTTCTGTACTGTATTCCTACATAAAATTTTTCTTTTATATATTTCACTATTGAGTTAACTGCTATGAATCCGGTGTTCGGCTTGCTGTGCTAATGAGGCGTGGCAACTTGAACCGATGCGTATATGTGCCTAGTCCTACGTTGTAACTGATTGACTTAATTTGGTCTAAGCGAGTAATATTAAAGTATTTGAATACAAGGCGTTTTTATCATTTAATTAATTAATTAGTTTAAATGAAAATATGTGAAAGTATGTAATTTTTGTATTTTGTCCCTTTTAATGTTCTTTTTTCATGAAAACAATTTACATTTTATTAGTTGAGATCATGAGTCAACTGAAGCTAGATCACCATGGGAAACCTGGAAGCACTGGATGGCTGTTTCGTCCTATTGTGAGACTCCTCAACAATTTACTTAGTAATAAAATAAGTGATACTTATTAGATATCTACTTTCTATACAACATACCGGTCTATCTTTTGACAAATTAATTTCTATTTTGTTTTTAGAAAATTTCAGATTTGATTAACTTTTCATTTTATATCACTGAAATGATGCCTTTTTAAATGAAAATTTGGTCAATTACAACAAATAAATTTAGGGGATAATGATCGAATTCTAGAAACTTTAATGGATGGTAGCTAGCAGTAGAATCCAGGACGTGCGTTTCGTCCTATTTTGGACTCATTAGCTAGATGTACTTGCATCTAAGAGTTGATGTTCACTCCGAGACTCGGATCCAGTACCATTCGCTTCAAACGCCATCACGTTTTTGACTTAGGTACTGAGTCTAGGTAATCATTAGCTTGTGCAATGAGGTGAAGTTTTAATTTGTTTTTTATTGGTTGTTTGAATCTTCCCATTGATGTTTAGGACTGAAATCGATCAATTTTTTATTGATATATGTACATCCTGTGCGGATTGCTTCGATATTGCCTGAAGTCACAAGCATTATACACCACCATCTATTTCTGCTTATAATGCTTGTGACTTCAGGAAATATCGAAGTAATCTGCACATGATGCACATACGCTAACAAGAGACTGATCAAGTTCAGTCGTAAACATCAATGAGAAGATTCAAACAACCAATAAAAATCAATTCAGTTAACTTCAAGTTAGTTGAAATCTCCTTATCTTTACACTTCTTAGATAATGTTTGAAGACATGAGAATCAACCTAATCATCAGTAATCTGTGTTCAAGAATAAAGATTAAAGTAAATCAAAAAAATAGTATTAACTTTACCAAACTCACCTGAGCTTCAGATAACGCTTTTTGTTCTTTTTGTCTTGTAATTGTAAGTATTTCATTAATATTTCTATTATTTTCACGTTCATCTTCTAATTGTTCTTTAATTTGTTCTAATTCTACTTCAAAATCATCTAACTGTGCACGTAATTGATCATTATCTAAACGTTGTGTATTATTTTCACGTTGTACATTGGCTTTTTCTGTTTCACTTCGAGATAATGCATCACGTATTCGTGATATTTCTGTAGAGAGTGTTTCAATTTCTGCTCGAGACATTCTAAGTTGTTCATTAGCTTCAACTAATGATCGTGATGTTGCATTACTCTATAATATAGGGAAAATTAATTTTCTTAAATAATAATTAAATTTGATAAATCATACTTATTTATGATTGATAAATGATGACCTGGTGAACTAATACGGTAACAAGAAAAAGATTGTAATTAATGACCATAGTCTCACTTAGTTTTCAGATGAGACATAAATATTTCAGAAAACAACACTCAATGCTAATTAATCAACGAAAATTGCACGACATTGCAACATTGTCCACTATTGTTTTCAGTGAGTTAATGCCTAACAACAGACACGGTTGAACTTCACTGGTTACGGCTTCTCAATAGAAATTCAGAAAATACCTTTTGAAGCCAATCCAGTGTTTCTAAGTTTTCCATGGTGGTCTAGCTTTAATCGACTCATGAATTCAAACATTAAATTACTACAATCTCCACAAAACCCCCTTTCTGATAATTGTCAAATTCATTGATACATGCCTTATTTTGGCCTTTGTGAAATATCATTTTTAAATTCGTGATAAATAACAGACAAAATGAAATAACCAAGTCAGAACGGGTATGTATATTCCGCAAAAGGCCAGAAGCACGAGCGATAACAACAAACACAAATCAAAACGTATATATACAGCACAAAACCGTTCTTGAGAAGCGTTACAAAATAGCATATCAAAAGACACAACGGACCAATAGCGTTTAAGATTCTTTCAAGTGGGAAATATGACATGAAGATGAAAAAGGCGGTTTTGGCGCAAAAACAAAGAAAATCAAATTTTCTTAATAAAAGTACAAAATTAAGACCTTTTTCAAATGAGTTCTGAGGATCTAACGTCCCCAACAAGTAATGGATCAATTTAGTGTTGTTCAGTAGTTATACACCAAATCACTGTAACTTGAATTGTGTCAGGAATTAAATGGAGGCTATGTGCAATGGTATATACTACCAAAGAGTAGAAAGTTATGTTACATTATTCAGAGTTTGCTAATTTAAAAGATCACAATCGGAAATTATAACCACTAAATGTTTTGAAATAATCAGTGAAGGCTTTTATGTAGATTACAGATTTTTCGTTGGTTTTAAATCGCAAACATGTTAGCACATTGCCGTGAATTGGTTAAAATTAGACATTAACAATGTTGGATGCCTGTGAGGTGGTCTAAAGTCTAAACATTTACACACAACATCTTGGATCCTGGATACATGGTCGTGGATGGGCACTATTGAGGATACCCTATACCAGAATGAAACATCTATTCAGTTCTTCCAGGTTTCCAACAGTGCTCTAGGGTAGATTGGTTTACAATATAAAATCTATGAAAAGTTTTAAAATTATCAATTGACAAGATTTTAAAAGCTAACACTATATAACAATCTTTGATCAATCTATTCGATAGATGAGTGTTCCTTAATCGGTTCATTTCAATATAGTTGTAAAAATGGTAGTACTCAGTTTTGATCTCAATTGATTATCTGTCTGATATAATTTTATTATTAAGAAATATCTATCAAATATAGTTTGTTATAAATTACAAGGATAAGTGAACTTTTCATTTATTCCATAGTATATATGTATAAATTATATTAACTCACTTGAATTTCAGTTGAATTAAGTGTAGCTCGTAAATGTGATATCTCTCTATCTTTTAAATCTGATCTTTCACGTTCATTAGATAATTCACCTTCTTTATCTTCTAAATCAACTTTACAACTAGTTAATTTATTTTCAGCTGTTTCCCATCTTGTTCTCCAACTTTCAGATTCTTCATTTGCTGTTCTTAATTGATCCATTAATTTACTACATTCACTATCTCTTTCTGATAATACACGTTCTAAACGTGATAGTTCATTTAAATAATCTTTCATTCGTTGTTTTAATTCATCTCTTTCATCACCTACATCCTATAAAAGCATATTTATATATATATCTCCATAGAATGAGGAATGTTATTAGACTACTTTAAACACATAAATATTAGTTACTAGACCGAAAAAAATCGAATGATAGCAAAACTACAATTTATAAACGACCTTTGAGTAACCTTGAGAGTGTTCATCTAATAACTAGAACCAAATGAAGGTTATGAATCAGTGTAAGGAATTGGAATTATGATTTACAATTGATGGTTAAAGTTAGGAATAAGATTTAGAGTTTTCATCACGAATTGACATCAGCTATAATGTCAAAACTCTATTTAGTCAAATGGATGAGTGAATTTCGTGCCGAAATTCGAGACCTGTTATCTTATACCTGATTGGTTCGTCCATAAATTATAGTCTCACCCAAATGATTGCTCAATAAAATTATTTATTACAAGTTATACTACTACATAGTAGCTCATACATATTTTACAAATGTTTTTTGAGGGGCTATAGTAATATATCGTCATACATTGTATTTCATTGACGAACAAAGTATGGATAGCAAAATAAATTTCAGTCTAACTGATAGTTACTTGATTACATTAGGATTTTCTTTAACGAAACGAAATTACATGTATTATTAAGGGTGAATTTAGTGAAAATAGATTGATTTCCATTTTCTGTCGTACCTTTCACTACTCTAATCAGTTTGAGTAAGTCTCTCTACACACATTTTTAAAAGCTTCTTACAGGATTAGTTTGCTAATCTACATTAGTTAAAAAGTATCTAACCAAACATTGAATAATCTCATGCCTATCTGACTATCCTTTGAATGGGATTTTACGAGAGAAACCATACAAAGCTTGTGACTTAATGTAATATTAAGTCAGTCCGCAGAACATGCACATATACCAAGAAGAGACTGTTGAATTGCAGTCCTACACAACAATGGGAAGATACAAGTAAACAATACCAAGTGGACTGAAACCATATAGTGCTTTTGATAACATCTTAATGTATTCATTATAGGGATATTTTGACTTATTTACTATTATTTAAAGTTACTTTATGAGCCTAATATACTGCTACATGTTTTTTAACAAACTATGCTTTGGTTTTCTTTCAACTTCAGTTGTCGCTTTTAGGTTCTTTTTTCATACTCTTGGACAATATATTAATGAAAGTTCTTATCAACCAGCTAGTCACATGTTCACATATAAATAGCAGCTGATCATGCCAGTCTATGAGAAAGGATAAAAGTCCTCTTGTGACAATCACAGAGGAATCAGTTTGACTAATATAGTGTCTAAAATATAAGCTTCAATAATACTCCGACGTCTAATCAAACCTCATGAAGAGGAAACTAGAGAAAACCAGGCTGGTTTTCAACCTGGACGTGGTTGTATAGACCAGATATTCACACTACGTCAGGTTCTAGAACAGAGACACACATTCAGACGCCCCACAATCGTAGTATTTTTCGACCTTACGTCAAAATTTTACTCCGTTGATCGTGAGGTTCTATGGCAGTGTTTGTCACTGAAAGGAATACCAAAGAAGTACACTAACCTTATAAAGGCTCTCTACTCGAACATAACTATTCGAGTGAGAGCTTATGGCGAACTGTCATCAGAATTGATTACCTCAAGTGGTGTTCGTCAGGGCTGCCCACTCTCTCCATTCTTGTTCAACTTTGTCGTTGACGTACTTTTAGAGATAACACTTTCCTCGTCTAGATTTCCAGGGATTGAACTTCTACCGGGAGATTCACTTGTTGACTTAGAATATGATGATGACATAGTTTTATTTGGTGAAGACGCTGACAAAATGCAGAGTCTTCTGACCACTATAAGCAACAATGCAAGCATGTTCGGGATGTGATTCTCCCCCTCGAAATGCAAAATGTTGCTTCAGGATTGGGTTGCATTGACACCCGAACTAATGATAGGGAGTGAAGTAATTGAGCGTGTCGATCGCTTCACTTATCTTGGAAGTCTCATCAGCCCTTGTGGTCTGGTGTGTGACGAAATCTCAGCACGGATACAGAAGGCTCGACTAGGTTTTACCAGCTCGCGTCATTTATGGCGTAGACGAGATATCCGTCTATCAACCGAAGGACGTGTTTACTGCGCAGCAGTTCGTCCCGTCCTACTTTGTGGCAGTGAAACATGGCCGGTAAGGGTAGAGGATATTAGTAGGTTACTAGTATTTGATCATAGGTGTCTTCGAAATATTGCTCGTATATCCTGGGACTATCGATTAAGTAACGCAGTTGTTAGGAAACGGGTACTAGGTAAGGATGGCAAATCAATTGATGACGTAGTGAAACTTCATCAATTGAGATGGCTAGGAAATGTGTTGCGTATGCTCAACCACCGACTGCCTCGACATGTGATGTTTTATGGTGTAGGAGTAGGTTGGAAGAAAGCTAGGGGCAGCCAGACCAAAACATAGCACAAGTCCATGAAGTCACTGACAAGTGGACTGAGTCATGTTGATAGGTGTAGACTACCTGGTTGGGGACCGCGAGATGATAGCAACCGATGGTTAGAGACCTTGAATGACATGGCTCAAAATCGTTTGCAATGGCGCAAGTGCATCTACTCTTTGTGTTCTCCCGAATTCTAATATGCTGAATTATCCTTGTCTCTTTTTCCTCTTTCCAACTTTATTTCACTGGGTTATACTCCTTGAATATCATCTTCAAACCCTAATGTTTCCGATTACTGCTTATACTCTTACAACTCCTACCACAGAGAGATTTGAATCGACAATTGTATGTGTGTGCTAGTGTGGTATGGCAACTCGAACTGATGTACGTACGTACGAAGTTCTATGTTGTTACTGACTGACTGAGCAGCAGTTTTAAAAATTAAACCGCTACAATTAATACTAAAAGATTAATAAATTTAACGATAATCATAACTCAGTAATGTTGTCTGGAACAGTCTAAACTTTGAATTTATGATCTCTAGATTTTTAGCTCTAGCACGTATACCAATATCGAGGCAATTAATTTTGTTAACTATTCTTCAAAATGTACAACTGCCTCATCCTAAACCATTCTACAAGGCTTTTTCTAAAAATCATTCAACTTGTATATGTGAGGAATAACAAGATGCTTTTTTATTAGAATTTATTTACTAACATAGATTGATGAATAAAGCGAAAATATAACACTTTATGTTTGATGGTAAATTATAGTTAATTTATATAAGTAATGAAAGATAGTAATCATTCCATGAATATTTAGACAGATACTACACTTGGACGAATATTAATACTGCAAAAAACATGCACATATTTACAGATTTAGTTAATAATATTATTTTTGTTCCTAAATGCCCTGGTACGGCCGAGGGTGGAGGGAGTTAGTTCTCACTCTCAAAATGCTCTCACATGGCCACGCGTATATAGTCATTGTCAGGGAAGTTCTACTCACTGCCTTCTCGTGGCGAGGAGGACGAAAAGAGAATGTCTGGCGCTTTAACCGAGTTGGTGGATATAAAGGGTCTACCTAGGGGAGTTGGAAAACCCTGATTCCATATCAATGGTGCACATGGGCTCCAGGATCCTGAAGGAAAAAAATTGCGTATGAACCTGTCGTTGGTCACCAGCTACCAGGGAACTGCATCTCCTCACGATGCTCCACTGGCTTGTGGATCAGATGTTTAGATCAAATGCTCCAGGTGTGGCCCTTCAGGAAAGCCACCTGTTTAGGTCTGGGCACCCAGGTAGTATCACAGCCCACACATAAATCAAGTGACATGTGTGGCGCATATGTACTTGGTACCTCTATGTACCAATATTTATGTGTTCAAATAAATAATAAGTCAATAATTAATATTATTTGAGTCTTCAACCTTTGCAGAAATGACCATTATTTTCATTATGATTTCATGGAATTGTTTCATTCTTTGTCTATAGATAAATATAGAGTCAAAATAATAATACTCAATCAGATCGAATATGTAGTTATGGTTAGTTATTTTTAATAAATGTACCTGTCTATTTCTTGATTCATAATAAACTTATCACATCACTCATTGAAATATTGACCAACAAAATCATGACATTGTTTAATAATATGACTGTAAATGGAAAGGTTAGTTGAGACAGTTTTTAGTATACGTAAAATAACATCTACTTACCTACATTTAGTAAATTTGGTTATAAATACATTACCTGTAGGTCTGTTTGTAATGTTTGTGATTCCCTTGCCATATGATTTAAATCTTCTCTTAATCTTGATGTTTCACGTTGTTCTGATTCTAATAGTCGACGTGTTTCAGATAAACTTGTTTGTATTGAATTTAATTCAGTTCTAGCTGCTGTTAATTCATTATTACGTGTAGATAAAGCTTCTTGTGTACGTGTATTTGTACGTACAGCTTCTTCATGTGCTGATCGTATATCATGAATTTCACGTAGTCTACTTGATAAATCAACTTCCGTATGTGATAATCTTTGAGATGTTTCCTTTAAATTAATCTAATGTATTAAAATATAATTAATCAATTTTTTTTAGGAGAAAAACTGTTGTACAACTCAATTTTAAAGTGAAATAACCAGATAGGAATTGGTTAAACTTTGAAAGTTCTAAACAAAATAGCAAATGTAACTTAGTAGTTTTTGTACAGTTAAGTACTCTGTTGTATGGGAAATGAAGATTTCAGTTGAATATAATAAGCAAGATAACTAGACTTCTTAATAACGGTCAATATTTTAACTTTATTTCACTATACATAGCTGATTTATAAATTTAAGACTGGGGTAGGAATTTCGGTGAGACTATAATTTATGGATGACCTATGAGTGACGCTAAAGTAACCTTGAAAGTGTTCATCTAATAACTAGAACCAAATGAAGGTTATGAATCAGTGTAAGGAATTGGAATTATGATTTACAATTGATGGTTAAAGTTAGGAATTAGATTTAGAGTTTTCATCACGAATTGACATCAGCTATAGTGTCAAAACTCTATTTAGTCAAATGGATGAGTGAATTTCGTGCCAAAATTCGAGACCTGTTATCTTATACCTGATCGGTTCGTCCATAAATTATAGTCTCGCTGAAAAGTTTTTAAAATTCAGTACTATGATAAGAAAATTCTAACTACAAACATGTTATCAAATAAAGAAAATCACTATGAATTTTTACTGACCCTATATCTGACTCCAATTAGATCGTATGAATGTTATTGATTGTTATTGAAACATACATTTCGACTTAATCTGCTTTAGTGTATAACGGAATGAAATAAATCGAATACGAGAATAGATTTTTGAATACAGATATTTTGTACACTCATGGATCTGGATAGGAAATGAGAGGGATAAAGCCAATAGAAGTGAGAGAAGGGAAATGACGCGCGGTGGAGAAGGCGTTTGAGCCAACTTCATTTAATCAAGCGTTAACCCATATTTCTAGTCACACAAAAATAAACTACAAACATGTGATGAGTATGATAAAATGTACACACACGCTCATATAAAAAGTCAGGGTTGACAGGTGAATAATTAACAAGGTCAAAACGTGGCTCAAGAAGTACGGATAAATTGGCCTGTCCGGAAACTAGAATAAGGTATATAGTCTTAACGTAGTAACCAATAGTACGAATTACTTAATATTGAAAAAGAGATTTTTTAAAACAGAGTTTCATCTATTTTGTAGGTCTGTGATAGCAATGATCTATAAACGTGAATAAATAACTAGAGTTTATAATAAACCTTGGTCATGAGAAAATTTAAAGAATCATACTGTCAGACTATCAATTAAGTAATAAATCCACTAAACCACAAAATGCCACTACTGATCATGTTTTAATTATCATCGTAGCTCAAAGTTCAGTTGTAATGCAAAAGAAATACATACATTTGAATGGATATTAACTAACTAGTGAATATAAACGATAGTGTGAAGACGGCTACTGGTGAACTTAAAGAAACTCTGAAAAAGTTTAGGACATTCCATACAATCATCGTTTAGAAGATTTCAGAGTCTCAACATGTAGCTTCCCGATTGGACATATTCAAAAAACTACTGTATGCCGATTGGATGATTGTGATAACGATTTCTTTTTTACTAAACACTATAAATACCCTAGTGTTTTGTACCATATTTGACTGGCTGGAATAAAATTTCCTTTCCACTCGTCTTCTGTCTTCTAACTTATAACTTGAAGGGTTCAGTCTTTAGTGTTCAATTTGTACGCGGTATAGCAAAACTTCAAGTTCTAGATATAACAGATAGCCGCATTGATAATTGTTTCTTGTCTTTTTGCTGACGTATCAGTCAGTAATTATTGAAAATAATAAGATTGATGAGTACAACAGAGTAGAAGCTTTAACTTTCCTATCAAGTGTAATCACTAACCTCCTTTATGGTATTTTAAACTAATCATTCCCATTTGAGGAAAATTTAAAGTAAAATAGTACTCTAAAATACCTGTACATACTGAGATTATGTCATGTTGAAAAGGTAACTTATAAATGATAAAATATAGTTGAAGCACTTCCTGTTACTCTTGACAACATGTAATAAACGGTTAATTTAAGAAGTGCTAGTTTTAGAAATTCTTACTGATACGCTTAAAAATATTTCTAAAATAACAGTGCACACTGACATCATACAACTATGATCATCTTGAATAGAAATTGAATGTTAAATGCATGTTTTGGAAATCACGATATCGACGGGATATCATTGTTCAACATTAATGATTGAATATGGATCTCGTAAGTTCTAGTATCCGTTAGAACATATCAATGTTTATACTGACATTTCTTTGATGCAAGTTCACACACTATATCTATTGTGTGAATATTAGAAAAACACTGACTTGGCACCAGAGCTCAAGTATGTACAGCTGAGTTGAGGATGGTTAAATCAACAGGCTCTGTCTGTGCCCTTACTCTTTGGCTGATTTTATTTCTTGCATTCAGTTGAGATTCAAAACTATACGTCATGTGCTTCGTTCGAACAGCTAAATAACTTGTAAAATGTGTAACTGAAACATCGAGTACTTGAGCTTTCATTCGTATACAATGTTTGTAGTTTACGTTCTTTCTATACTCCACCAATTAATAAAAATATTTTTAAATTACCTCCAAATTTTGTTTTTCTTCCTCTAACATTTCCATTCTTGATCTCAATTGACTGTAATCATCTCTTTCTACGCGTAATTCTCTTTCTAATTGTACAACACGTGTTTCAGATTTATGCAATTGATCTTCTGCCAAACGTACACGTGAACTCCAATCATTTGCGTCTCTTTCAGCTGTTTCTGATCTTCGTCTGCATAATTCTAACTGCTGCTGAAGATCAGCAATTGTATTTCTTTCTGCCTAATTTTTAGAAAGAAAACAAATCTGATAGTGATTGTTAAGGATTTTAAAATAATGGTCTATTACATTAAATAATAACTGATGAAGGTATCTACTTCAGTACAATAGAAGATGGTCGCGAAATTTCGCGGATTTGTTGAGATTAGACAGTAACACCGTTGGATGCCGACTGAGTGGTCTAGAGGTTAGGAGTTCGCGCGCGAGACTGAAGGCAGTGGTTTGTAACCCCTTTGGCGGGATCGTGGATGAGCACTGCTGCGGAGTTCCATAATAGGACGAAATGGCCGTCCAATGCTTTTACAGGTTTCCAACGGTGGTCTAGCATCAAAAGCTTCATAATCTCAATAAAAAACGTAATAATTTTCACAACCTTATACTGATAACTAATATATAATCATCGAAACCGTTTTTAAATCTATGATCGAGTATATGAATTCGATATACTTAAACTGTATAGCATACCATACCATAGTATGACATTCAAAATCCCTTTCGTGTGTCGTACGACGTACAGTTTCTACTATTTACAAAAATTGATGAGTTCCAGAATCAACGTAAAAGTCCTTAATAATATCTTTGAAATTAATCGTTTTTAAATAAAAAGAAATGAATAACTTACTCGTAACGCTTCTGCATTACGTTTCACTTCCAAATCTAATTTTTTATTTTCTGCATCAAGTTCAATATTTCGTTCATGAAGACCATTGGAACGTTGAACCAAATCTTCACGTTCTCTTAATGATTGTCTATGCGCTGAACTCATTTCTTCAATACATGATTCTAAATGAACTTTATCTTTATTAGCCAATTCAACTGTAGCCTATAAAATGTTAAATACAAAAAGGAAAAAAGTATTTACTATATATATTTTTTAATTGTTGGTGTAAATGCTTTCTACTTAGTAAATTATAATCAGAAGGGGTTTGTGGAGAATTTAGAAATTTCACTGATTGAAATCATGAGTCAATTGAAGCTAGACCATCATGAAAAACCTAGAAGCACTGGACGGCCGTTTCGTCCCAGTATGGGACTCCTCAGCAGTGCGCATCCACGATCCCGCACATCGCGGGATCCGGACCCAGGACCTATCAGTCTCGCGCCATGCGCTTAACCAACTAGATCACTGAATCGGCATCCAACGGTGTTGATGTCTAACTTCATTCAATCCACGAAGTTGCGCCACCGTATACCATTGTCTTCAGTGAGCTGATGTCTCACAACAGACCTGGTTGAACTCCATTGGTAACGGCTTCTCACTAGAACTCCAGAAGTATCTCTTGAAGTCAGTCACTAGTGAGCAGATGATTATCATCAGTGCTTCGAGGTTTTCCATAGTGGTCTAGCTTCAATTGACTCATGATTTCAATCCTAGTAAATTATAGTTATAATATGAATACATTATTATGAACTACCTGTACGATAAATTGAGATACAATTTAGAATAATGAATGATATTTCTTTTTACAAAACTTCACTGAACAATAAATCTGTGTCAGATTTTTAGTAACGACCCAGATTCTAATAAGTCACCAAAACTATCTTTTCCTATTAATAAACACTATTTCATCATTGATAAATAATTTGGCAATAGATTGATGCAAAGTTTTGTGTAAGGCAGTGATGAATAGAATTGAAAAGTATCGAGAGTATGAGTAGTACTATCGATAACAATAAATGATTACTACATCAAGTCGTATTTAAAGTAAAACTTGTAGATTACTAGTGACCTTGTGGATTGGTTGAAGTTAGACATTAACACCGTTAGATGCCAACTCAGTGGTCTAGTTGGTTAAGCGCATGGCGCGAGACTGATAGGTCCTAGGTTCGGATCCCGCGATGTCCGGGATCGTGGATGCGCATTGCTGAGGAGTCCCATACTAGGGCGAAACGGCTGTCCAGTGTTTCCAGGTTTTCCATGGTGATCTAGCTTCAATTGACTCATGATTTCAATCAGTATAATAAAATTTTACTTCTAGAGTTATAAAAAGATGATATCTCTTAACTGTGAAAGATTTTCATTGTTATCAAAATATTGAATAAGATTATAGAATGTTATCTATACAGTTTTATGTATGGACGATTAATCATGCGATAACCTCATTATGAAAATGTAGTTATATAATCTATGCAGCCACTTATGTTTTCTATTCGAAATATACAACAGTTCAAGTTTAATAGTATAAACATTTTATAGACCAAAACTAAATCTTTGCTAATGTTGTATTATCTAACTGATAAGTGATCATCTTTTAGTTATTCACCATTCATATGAAATTTGAGTAGATGCTTTTTCTTCTACTCATTTTGAAATTCTCATAAAATGCATGACAACTTGATTTTCATTTATAAGAAACGTTTCTATGAAAAACAATAACTTTATTTTAATGAATATTTCTTTTTGATAGAGTTTTGTTCTTTGAACTGGATGGCTTTGGTCGTGAAGTTTTCATTGTTCTTCTGAACAATATCATCAGTACAAAATTCAGGTAGAAGAAGAACGATGTAAGCTCCATAACCAAACCATCCAATTCAGTGAACAAAACTTCATCAAAATCATCCACCAGAGTTATAAATCTTCTCCACCATCTTATGAACATCTTTATTTACTAAATTATCTAACATATTCATCACATACACACGGTAACATCATAAATTACCCATATATCTCTCAAGATGAGAGTAAAAGTTATTCTGCTTTTTTTATCATGCAAGTTATCTTTGGATAACGAAAAATTACAAAAAAAAGAACAAAGTGTGTAGATAATGACATTTACCGTACACATTGAAAGCTAATATGCTGTGCATAAATCATAACAGTAGTGATGAAGCAGTGTATTGTTAGATTAAAATGTTTAGTGTAAATAAAGTGCTTTATTTAATTATGTGCAAAATCAAATCTATCAAATTTAAATGAATTTTATGGTGCTTGATTAGAACACAAAAGCTGCAACATTAAAGTAAGACATACAATAACTGAAATACTAGACATGCAAATTATATATATATTGTAAACGTGTCATTTATTTCAGTGGAGTTGGGCCAACGTTAAGATTGACTACTGAGTGATTGAAAAAAGTTAATAAGAAACCCTGAACCTAGGTATCATGTTAGTTGAAACTAATGAAATCTGGAACGGGCTGATTTGACCTGGCAGATTAGAATACAGATCAAGTATTTTCAGAAACGGAAACTTTATTATTGATATATTTTCAGGATGATTGATTTATTTCAGGACCAAGATATTTGCATTATCAATTATATAATTTGATTAATACACTTAGAGAAACATGATATTAGATACTTCTCAGCGATTATTCATTGTAGGGTTTTGTAAACAATGTTTGTAAAGAGGGAAGTCATACAAAGCTGTTGGATAATATGTTTTCTTAATTCAATAAGCTCAAGAAAATCCTAATGGTCATATCAGTTTTCGAATATTACAATAGTTCTAAACAGTGATGTATAAGTGTATAATTAATAACAGTTACTTATCTAATGAACACGTGGGAAGCGTTAGAAAAAACACTTCAAAGTTCACAAAGTTGTCTCATGCTCTAGACTGATAGGTCCTGGGTTCGAATCCCGCGGGCGGCATCGTGAATAAGTACTACTGAGGAGTCCCATACTAGGACGAAACGACCGTTCAGTGCTTTCAGATTTCCCATAATGGTTTAGCTTTAATTGACTCATGAATTCAACTATTAAATTACTAAAATCTCCACAAAATTCCCTTCTGTAAATAATAAACAGTAATAATTCATGTTATCATTTTACGAATCGTATTAAACAGAATGATCTGTATATAAAAGAATACTTTTCTTGGTTGAATTTTAATGATAAATCAATTGTCATTTTGTTATAATAAATAAAAATGTTTTGATTTCTGCTTGAACTTTAAATTATAATTCTTTAGGGAATGCAATCATTATTCGATTAGTAATTGTACATCGTTTATTCCTTAGTGTCAGTACATACATTGTGAAAATCATCAAACTGTATCATCAGGCAAGCCTTAAATTGAAATCCTGAAGGTAAAAGGTAAGGAGGTAGACCAAAGAACAAATTGCTCAAGGAATTGAAGATAGATATAAAAAATGAGTAGTAATTGGAAACAACTGGAAAGGATTACCTAAAACAGAGTTGACTGGACAATCCTGGTCGACAGCTTATGCTCCACTAGGAGTAACAAGGCTAAGTATGTTAGTGTCAATAAATTGCATCTACAATTTTACATTTAGTGATGAACCTTGTTGGATCGGAATTCGCATCACTTCGAACCATGGTTACATGCTCTGCCATTTAACAATTAAGGTCTATACTGACCTTCTGTATGACTGAAATGTTTAGTCTAATAAGATATTTAATGGTCGCTAATGTCATTTTCTTATTATTGACAGACTCTGTCGACCAACTTTCTATGCATATGACACAATAGTCGTTAATATTCTTTGAGAAATTGAATCAATTAAGACATATGATTATTAGATCAACGCTAACCAATGATAGGTTATATGGGCAGGTGTCTGGAAAAGTTGACATAGAATTACAAAAGTCAGTTAACTAGATTACCTAGCAAATATTCAGCTATAAGGCGTTAAGTCACAATGTAGAGGCTTTACTCATATTTCCTTAAAGTATGTCCTGAACTTAATGTAAAACTGATTGTCAAGTTTTCTAGCCGTTTACAAACTCTATCAAACTACTCGACAAATTAATCAATTAACTATGATTAAACAGAGACACTGTGGTGCGTGCTACTTAAATTGATATAAGTAGTATATAACGCGATTTAAAGAACGTAACGTCTGGCAGCAGAAGATGGGGGAAGATCAAGAAAGGAAGAGCGAGAACACAATGGAATTTGTAAGAAACCGCATGAACAATGTGAGACAATGGACTGATGTTTGCAATGGCAACAGTCCGGTTTGATATGATGGAATGATATTTTGCAAATTAACGACTTACTATTTGGTTTTTCTATTTTACCAAGTAACTCTGTAATTTTGTGCTAAATACATCCGGTTGTCCCCACCCGTGTTCTGTTCACTACAACACTTTATAAAGGTTTATGTCGAGAACTGTTTCAATGTCATAACGAAATTTTATCATCAGAGAAAATGATTTTAGCAGTTCACTTTTCCGTGTTATAGATTAGATAATGAGACGAACTTATCATGTCTCAACATGATCAGACGCCGATTGAGTAAACTTATGAACCATCATATGAAATTAGATGGTCCTGAAGTCTTTTCACTATTGAATTGAGGTTCATAGCAAAAAACAATTCTCATTTCTAAAGACAAATATTTTACAGATAACAAACATAAAGTATAATCACACACTCTTAGTGATTCATTATCAGCTGTCAATTTTTCATTAGTTTCTGACATCCATTTATTTTCATCTTTTTGAGTAGATAATTGTTGTTCCAATTGATCTATATGTGATCTTAATTCCTCTGTTTGTTGTTCCAACCAATTAGCTCTTCGATCAATTGAATTTTTATTATGAATAGCTGTATCTATACGTTGTTGTAATTTTTCATTCGCCTCACGTTCAAGCTTTAAATATACGAGAAGAAATAAAATAAAATTTTTTGTTGTAAGAACATAGAATGGATTGATTAGCTTCAATTATCGTTACGACATGTTCTCATTATGACTTCGTTATAACGTGACGGATACTAGGAGTTAGGAGTTATGAAGTTATTTTTACGATTATCATTATTATCTATATTTCTAATTGGTTAACTGTTGTTACATTTCTATATTCCTCTCATCGTTAGCTTTTAACGGACATATTAACTGTCGCCATACGTCTTACTATTCCATAGCTGTTACTAATAAATTATGCACTGGTAGTTCAACTCTCTATCACTTATGGCATAATTACGTTCAAATTATAATATTTCGTACTTGGTGCACTCTGTGATGTCACTTCGATTATTGTATACGTTTTGGCATGACTGAATTGAGCACAATAGATAAATGGTCTACTTCCTATCGGCTATTTGTTTAGGAGTTTGAGGATCAATAAGCGTTAAGGCGTTACTTACCGTTTATTGGTGGGTGTGTCAATGCGAAAATAGGTTACCGGTCGTATTGGCTGTGTAGGTGAATTAATTAGCATATATATATCAAGTCACATAAAATGTCACTTAAACCTATGATGAGCAAGGTTTGTTTGGATTGATACTAGTTTAACATTGATATGGTGACCTACTTATTAATAGTAAGTGGCATGCTTTCCAAATTAAAGATTCCTATCACTTAAATAAATACAGTTATCATAAAAGTATCCATTCATGATTGATTAAATATATACATAAGCAGAACATTCCGTTTTAAAATGAATTAATATATAATAAACAGTGTCCTGATTTCATAAAACACAATGCCTAATGTTTCAGATGAATTCTGTTATAATTATTTGGTTTGATCCGTCATAGGTGGAAAGAAAACTCACTACATCTATGAATACTTAGCCAGATTTTTGTTTGGAAGACACCTAAATGAATGTTATGAACAGCTTACTATATAACAGCGACATCAACCACCTGGTTTTACACTGTGAGACAGATAGACATTCAAACACTGGTCGCATAGGTCCTGACACAGCATCGATATTCGGTTTTATATACATCATCTATGATCGTTCTTTCAGGTTCAGGGTAATATATTTATGGCAACAACTTTAGAAAATCTATCTCAATAAATTCAATGATAATACTGATGAAGAGTAGATCCGTTAAAAGACCCCAGGGACAGTAGTTCTGTTCGGCTATATTGGAATAAACTATGTAAACTCATAAACCGTAAGAATAAAAAAATCGTAGTAATTACTTGATATTTAGTTGTCTGATCAGAATAATCTTTCTCTAATTGTCTAAGTTGTTTTTCAAGACTTTCTTTTAAATCATTCAAATCATTCACTTGTCTAGACAAACGATCACGTTCTGATAAATTTATTTGTGCTCTTTTTTCAATTTGACGTTGATGTTTCACCAAATCATCACGTTCACATGTTAAATTATCAAAGTCGCACTATGTACAAAACAAAAAAATATTTTACCAAACTTATGTTTTACATGTTCACGAGAAAATAAGTGTAATTACATTATAATTACGAAAACATAATGAAGGAATAGTAGTAGCTTCCATAAAAATCATCTCCAGTTGAAACTACTTAAATAATATTACAGTAGTCAAATGCTCACAATGCAAAAATAAATGACTATGACCAACGTTACAACTAGAAAGTAACCTGATAATACGTACAAAGTGAGAAGGTTTGTGGACACTGTTTCGAGTGATCGTCTAGCTTAAGTCACGCTGTGTTTGAAAATTCGGAACAATATAACCTAAATGAATGAAGGAATAAACGATTTGAATAATTAACGATTCACCATAATAGTCAAACCCACATGGGTTATTCTAGCTTCATGATAGACCGTCTCAATCTCTAATCCGACGCATTCAGAAAAGCCAGTACAGAGGGGACATGAGGATACTCAAATCATATAACTTTTCCGGTACTTTGTCCTCGTGTTGACTCATCTCATTGATCTGTTTGGCGGATCATTCCATCATGATTATAACAACCATCATATTCTCATTATCACATTGGTGTCATATTATAACCGAACAAGGAATTATTATCTCTGCTCGTATTAACACTGAATTAAGACATTTAAGCAGGTATGTCACTCACCGATCAAATTATAATACTATGAATATGAAATTCACGTTTTGACATCAACATAGCTCAAACCTATGTTTCTTGTTGGTAGACACTCGTAAATCTATTTATTTTGAGTTGTCTAATAATCCCCAAAGGATCCTAGTATATGTTTTTGAGTATCATAGTTAGGTAGATCATTCAAGATTTCCAAAATACTAATTATATTCAACAAATTTACCTTTTATTTGTGTGGGGTGCTAAGGAGAACTCAGGTCATCCAATCCTTCTGTTATTTTATGTTAGTTCATTTTTAAAAGATAAATTCAATGATATTTTTTAATTCATATTTCCTTAGTGACTTTTGCTAATATCTGAAGTCTGATTGTGCCATGGAAAGTTCTAAAATACCGGTATTTAAGTCAGTCAGTAATCAGTAGATCTGTTAACACATATCCATCCTGTCTATCGATGATGTTCAGGTCAGTTAATCATATAGCGTAGATGTTTATTCAGTGGGAATGTAAAGACAGTATAAAATATCAAAGCTTTAAAAGTCAGCCAATCACTAACCGGGCCATCAACATGAACGGATTTAGAACTTGCTGAGCAATCAATCTAATATTCACTAATTTTTTTTAAGTTGAGACTCAAAATATAACTTGACAAATCACTAAAATTTCATGAAGAATGAACTGACGGTAAACTTTAACTCACTTGTAATTTAACTTTTTCTTCTTCCATATTTTGTAGTTGGTTACGTAAGAGAGAACATTCATCTCTTTCTTTACGTAATTTCATATCATACTCATCAACTCTTTCATGTAACCGTCTACAATCCATCTCCATAACACGTGTCCTTTCATTCATTTGAGATATTTGTAATTCACGTTCTTCTAAACGATTATTTTGTAATTCTGCCTCTTGTTTGAGTTGAGCTGATTCTTCATTTACTTTCTTAGTAATAAAGAAAAGTATAAAGGAATATGGAATTGGATTTACATAATAAATATATATTTTTTATTCCGTTTATAATCACTGATCACGTAATAAAAATCTATTTGTCAGTTGGTACCAGAGTGACTGACCACTGAGCGATTGTCAATGTCGTATTTATCTAGTCTATCAGTGTTGTTGAGCTTGATCACTGATCACTGATCAGTCATCTGTGAATATCTCTATCCTACTACAGTGATGCTCCAGATTGTAAATCTGAATAACTCAGGTCTTAACCACATAAAGAACATCAGTCCCCTTAAGATTCCAAATACCTCCTGCTATCAATTATGAACAATCGTGAAATCTAGATTCAGGGTTTTCTGTCGACTTTCTCCATTCATCCAACTTCAATTAAAGTGACTTTATTTCGATCGAAAAATAAGGTAATGAACAGCTTGAGCATACTTTTCTTGAAAAATGGTCATTTCAAACTATTGAAGGGATTGAAATCAAATTATTCATGTGGCAAAACAACCATATTGGAAGTCAGATAAAATGCAACTGTTTTGAAAAACCAAACAACTCAGTCAAATTGATATTATTTTGTCTGAAGTTATACAATTAACAGTGTAATTAGGATAGTTCGGATAGTCAAAGCTTCATTAGGGGCTAGAAATAAGAACATCCTGGAGGAGATTAAAAACCTCCATTGGTAATTATATTTGCTACCTAAGTGGTTATATCCAATTGAGTATCGTAGAATAAAAACTTTTTATACCCATCTTTTTATTCATATATAACTGAGTTATTTTCTGATGTTTTATACGTAATGATAGTAAACGCAAACTGTCCTTAACTTATCTCACTTCATATAAATTAATGAACATAAACAGAAGAGATCAGACTATTCACATCTTATTACAGTAGAGTTCGATTACATAAAACGAACTACATAGAACTGTCAAGATGCAAATAGATCAAACCAAATTAAACTTATATTTATTATATGACTAGCAGTAAGTTCCAGAACACATTGTTCGTCCTATTTCGGACCCGTCAGTTGAATATATGCACATCCTAGTGCTGATGTTTACACTGAGACTCAGACCTAGTACTTTTCGATTGAACCAAACACTTATCCAAATACACAAATGACAACAGACAGTGATTAATTTTAGCCCTGAATACCAACAACTGGAAGTTGAAAACCATTTCTATCAATAAATTATACTTACCTTAAGTAATTCTTGTCGTTCAGCTAAACTATCCTCTAACTGTTGTTGACGTTGTTGTAATTCATCTATACGTAGTCGATGCATAGATACACGTCTGATTACTTCATCACGTTCTTCTGCAACTTGATTTAAACTATTTTCTAAATGATCCAATTGATTAGTTAAACGTAATTTATCTGCATGAGCATTTTCTGTACAATTCTAAAATAAAGAAGTTGAATTTTTCGCTCGAAACAACAGCAACAACCAAAAATCATCAAACTGTCATAAATAGATATATATATCTGTAATAGTATTATGCAAACTATTAAGTCTGTAGTGATTTGTTTCTAGATCAGATGTTATACACCATAAAGTGAGACGAAACAATACACAGTAGCAATAACAATGATAACAACATAGAGTGTAATAAAATCTGTGCATATTTAAATTAGTGTTTATATATTATACTTTGTGTGCATAAGTGTAGTGTTATGTATAGGCATATTAAGATTATACAAAACATCAATAGTAAATTAGTAATTTTCTGTGTTTTACATACTTTATATTTTGTAATTAAACTATCACGTTCAGCAGTTACTCTGGATAAATCAACTAATGCACGATCTCGTTCTGATTCAACACGTCGTAAAACAGTTTGTGTAGTTTGTGTATTTCGATCACCAGTTTCATGCATTGCATAAAGATCTTGATGTAATCGGTGTATTTCACTTCGTGACTAGTGTGAATAGTTATAATTAGAAAACAAAAAGAGAAAATTATAATTTCTGTAAAACCAGATAAGCGATAAATGTGTATATTCCTTATAAACACAAATAAAGAATGTTTGATTTGGAAACTTATAGTCAAACTGAATGTCATTTACCTAAACAAATCATATAAGCTCTGAATTTTGTAACTGTTGAGTTTTCTACTCGATTCTTAAAATTGAGATAAATCAATTCTAAACATAAGTTTGACATCCTTATATTTTCACTCATAAAATGGTTAAATTGATGGATATTCGAAACGAACTCGTATGGCGGTATCCTTAATAACATGAGTAGTTACGTCATTTCACAATACTTTACTAGTATAATATACTTGAAAGTTAGTAAGTAGTTGTGCAGATTGTTGAACCGATTTAATTTAAATCACCAGTAAAGATCTAAAAGCACTAAACAGCCGATTCATATTAATAGTGGAATTTTCAGCAATGAGCATTCACCACCTCGCTTCCAGGAGTTGTACAATGGCTAATACAAATGGATTCAAATTCACCCCATTGAACAATACAGTGAGTGTTTAGACTCAGTAGCTAATTTGACGTTGCAATGGACTTTGAAGCTTTAAATGTTGGGTTCGAATCCCATAGGGAAATCAACTATGAGATACACGTACATCCAATTTACCAGTCTCGGGTTACACTACTAGCTTACATCTGCTTCTGTTTAAAATTCACAATATCACATGACCAATTACCATTAATGACGAGTTTTACACAAAAATGAAATGGCCATCCAATCTTTCCAAGTTTTCAACGATGATCTAACCAAAATGAGTTCGTGACTTAAGATTTCTGTTAAATAATAATTATCTATAGTTTTATTTCTGATTTCCCAATTGATTATGTTATGTTTCATTGCTATTGATAAAATCATTGACAACAGTAATAATAGATGGAATAATGTAAACCTACATCGTTGTATAATTTGTTAATTTGATCTCTTTCTTGTGTAAGTGTATGAACATTACGCTGAATCTGAAGAAGAAGAAGAAGAATAGCAAAAAATACAAAGTGATTTAATACACAAGAAATGATCAAGAAGTGTTAAGGCTGTATTATTATAGAAACAGCAACAAATTATATTGAATAAAAGGGAAGTTTGTAAAAAAATGATCTAATTTGTAATTTCGAGAAACTATTAATGTTCAAAAGTACGAACCATCAGATTCTCAATCAAAATCCTAAAGATATTGTACTTGACATTAGAACTAAGACTACTGTGTTGTATTCCATTACATTAGAATGCATACAGAAAAAAGGATAACCAAATCCTTTCGCAATCCCTTATCCGGTATATATATAATATCATATATTATCCAGAGTATGAAATGTTAATAGTAGATGTAAACTATGGGGTTAAACATCAACAGTAGTTAATTGTGTTATAAAGATATCTTTCAACTGGTTTTGTAAAGTGATTTCATTTAAAATGTAGTTTAAAGGGAATCAATTGCAGTGTTATTTCTTTCCGCAAAGATTATATTTGAATGTACAGTGTTGCATAAACCAGTTATCAACAACTAATCCCATATGCATTAGGTTTGGGTATCAGTGTAGATATGAATAATGAGATATAGATACAATTGGCTGACAAACAACTAAAAAGTAATATCAAAGTGTATATGAATATATTCCAACAGATATTGATCAAATTGAGTCGTTAATATCTAGTAAAGTTAAACCCTAACAAAACAAAGATTATGTGAGTAATTTACTATTTAATACATGCTTTTAAATGTTGCGAACTGAATTGTTGTCTCTTTAATCTTATCCTTTTATTAACAAATAGTTAAAAATATTCGAAATATTGTTCACAGTATGATATTTGAATCTTAATTTATCTTATAACTGAACACTTAGGTACTAATGTCGACTTTCTTAATCCCCAGGAGACAAAGGACGAAAGAAGTTTCAAATTTAAATTTAGTTAGAGTACAGAAAACAAGGGTATCCATGGCACCATATGTGACCTTAACGTTCTAGAAGCTTCTGCGAAGAATACCAAAATTTTATATATATATTATATCGGTAGTTGCCTAATCAAAATAACTGAAAGAATATTATGTCAATTTCCAGAATTCTTTTGCAAGTAACAAGAAATTTGATCGATTGGAATGTTTCCATCAATTTCCTGTCTTTTGAAGACTTTCACAGAGAATTATCATAAACTCCTTAATAATTAATCAATTTTATTAAATCAAATTGATCTTTCAGAAGAACATGTTCAATGTACTTTTATATAATTTAATTAATACTCTAAGGCGAATTAATTTAAACAATTCACTATCATAAAAATTATCATATATTTACACTATTGTCATTAATGTGCTTTTCAAGTGTTTCCGTGGACAAAATCTACACAGTTAACATTATAATTATATTACACCCCTACAAAAAAAGATACTTTTCTAAGTTTCATAAATAAATTGAATGTAAACGGTATCATTCTAATATAAATTATTATTTTAGGCCTATTTACCCCTTCCATACTTCACTTAATTCTTTTCTTAAAACAGAACAGCAAATTAAATTCACTTGGTGTTGTTTTATTTGTATCTTCCCATTGTTAATTAGGGATGCAATTGATCAGTTTCATGTTGGTATATGTGCATCCTGAGCAGATTGCCTCGATATAGCCTTAAGTCACAAGCTTTCTAAGTAAAAATGGATAGTGGCTAGCAGTGGAATCTAAGATGCGCGTTTCATCTTATTTGGAACTCGTTGGCTGGTCGTACCTGCATCCCAGAGTTGATGTTCAATGGGAAGATGCAAGTAAAACAATACCAAGTAAATTTAAACTTCACCACATTACACAAGCAGGCAGCTATCAGGACTCAGTAGCTAAGTGGATAACATGATGGCCTTTGAAGCAAACGGTACTGGGTTCGAGACCCGAAGCGGGCATCAACTCTGCGATAAAAGTACACCCAGCTGACGAGTCCTAAATGGGATGAAACGCATGTCCTGAATTCCACTGCTACCCACTATTCATCTTTGCTTAGAACAGTAAATTACTGTAATTACACATTATATTATTTATCAACATATCATACGACCAAAGCATAGAATAAAAGAAGAGAAACAAATAATATTGATTAAGACTTTCAAATAAGTCATAAAATATAGAAAATCTTTGTGAACATGTAAACGTGTTTATTTTAAATGATGAACTTCCGTCCTTTCTCTAATTAGTACACAGCTGATTAAATTATATCGTTGACCTGATTTCTAAGTTATGCTACTTGTTATCATAAAAAGTAATATTACTATGTACATTCTAAACATGTAATAATGGATTAGATAGTAATGAAATTAATAGAACTTATAAACTCATTGGATGGAAATAAATTTATTTTACTAGATAAGTAACATGAAGATCAGTTGGAAAGCAGAAAAAGAAAAAAAATATGATAGTTGACGGAATAATATATGTTTGCTCGGTGAATTTCACAATCTATGGTTAATTAATTAAAAGGATTTCTTTTGAAGATTGAATTAATTTGTGTGATGTATTCTTCACAGTTTGATTTCAAATGGGATATTAAAGAAAGCATGGGATCGTTGAATAGGTATTCTATTTTGGCATATGATTCTCGAGTAGTGTACACATCATTAAGGATAAAACCTAAGGCATTCAAGTCATATTGTGAACGCTAAACCACTAGAATCATTGGGTCGTAATACAGTAGTGCAGTTCTAACTGCAATCAGCCCGTGTTATAAAGCTATAAACATTCACTTCCCAATTGTCTGAACTTCAATTATATTGACTTCTAATTATGACTAGTAAGCAATCATAGTTTGGTTGAGAAAGTGTTGTGAAGATTAATCCAATTTCTAGGTTGTATTCATCACACATCATCCATTATTTCTTAGTTTTCAGTGGCAATGCGATTGAAAACAGTCAGTGTCGAATAAAACCTATAAATTACGGTTAATTAAACAATTTACGGAATTTAAGTCCTTATCAGTGAGAGTGCATAATTTTAAACAACCATTTTCTACGATTTTTTTAATTTAAGATAAACCCCTAAATAGACTATGCTCAATCAGATTGGTAAGTGTTGAATTTATCTTATTCTGTATCTCATACAATTCGTGGTTGTACGATGACAATAGGTCGATCGATATACAGAGAAGATTTGCTAATCTGAATCCTGGTTAGAATCACCTAGACCACTAAGCCTTGATTACTTATATGCCTCAACTGGCAAGATTAACCTTGAGTTGGGGTGAGATAATCTTTACTCTTAAATTTTGTCGATACGACTGACTTCTATTTCAATTCATGAGTTTTAATGGGAGAACAAACCAGGAAAGCTCCTACTATCTACACTTCAAGCAGCCAGTATATTTGTCTCAAACGCTCGTTAGTTGACGTATATGAAATAATAGAACTTAACACACTCAAATAAGAAATAATAATTTACATAAGATCATAACGTAAGTGGCATACAATGGAACAAATGGGGTATAAGGAATAATAAAACGTATAGCAATATTTAATAGGTCTAACAAAAGCTCATGATACAGTAACTTAAGAAATATAACAATTCAGTTATTTAATAATCATACAATAAAAATACAAACAGTAATGTTAAATCTATACGAAGAATAAATGAATAGTAACTGCTAGGAATTATTTTGGAGAACTATCACAGTCCTCATCAAAAAAGTACAAGTATTCATAAACAATTGTCCACTCAAGATACTCAACGTCTGTTGGCCGGATGCGATCAACTAAAAGCTATTGTAAAAGAGAATAAACCAGATCCCAAATAAAAAGGAAATTAGGAAAAGATGTTGGAGGCGGATAAAACATACATTACGGAAATCATCAAACCGCATCACGAGGTAAGCGCTAACTTGGAATTTTAAAGAAAACAGAAAAGAGGAAGGCCAAAAAACACACTGTGTCGGGTATTGAAAGCAGACATGAAAAGGATGAATAGCAACTGGTAAGGACTGCCCAGAGCAGAGTTGGATGGGGAATGCTGGTCTGTGGCCTATGGTCCTCCACGAGGGGTAGCAGGCATAAGTAAGGAATTATTTATAAACAGTTATTATATATATTCTTATCGTATAATCATCATCTAACTAGATCATATTTATTTATATTCCTTTAAACATAAGTTTTCATTTAGCCAATGAGCTACTGTTATACGGTTTACCTTAATTTATTTCCAACCAATTAGTTACAGGCTTCCAAACTCATAGCTGCTTTCGGCTTTAACTTGTATAATAATTATTATTCATTTGGTGGTGTGATGCGATCTGGTACATAAACCTCGCAAGCAGCTACCGAACAGAGGACCAAAAAGTATTCAGAGTTGACTGAAGGCTACTAGTGGTGGTTGACTTTCATTGGCTTAGTACGGGAACAAGGTCACGAAAGCCAGTATTGTGATTGGCGATTTGTATCACGTGACATTTGACGAAATATAGGACATGACAAATAATAGTCTGTAAAGTAGTTTTAAAGCTATACTATTCCCAGTATTCACTCCACTACAGCATTTCACTCACAACTAACTAGCTTTGCTGGTTGAGGTTTTTTTTAGCAAGATTATCTTCTACAGGATGAGGTTGTCAACCCTATGCCTCCTTCTTTCCCGGACTTGAGACCGGCAGTAACTCTAGAAGAGCTACAGGCGGAGATGAACTAAATGTAATCATGGTAGAACCTAGATATATATGAAACTACACTCTAGACGCGTATAAGCACTTAAGTATTATACTTAAATTCAACAGTTTAAGTTTAAATTAGATTTCGGCTGTGCTATAAAGAATTGCCAATATAATATAATAGATCTAAAACAATATTTGTATTTAAATAATTCGAAAATCACACTCAAGGGACACTCACGATCGGAATTAATTTTGTAACTTAAGAAATTTTTTAATTATTTTCGACATCATGAATCAACAAGTGGAACAGATAAACTCTTATTGGATATGGCATAGAATAACTCGTTCACTTGCTGATACTTATGAGTTCCAATGTAGGATATAAAATCCCTTCTTTATACAATGATCTTCCACTCACGTACTTTGTTTCACTTACTGTTTACACAATATTGTATAAGTAATAATCTTCACAAAATAGATGTAGCTCGAAGTCGAATGTAATAGTTTTGTTATGCCCCGATAAGAATAATGAGTGGTAATTTTTGGGATCCATTTGTGGACCATTAATATACGTATATTTTACCGTATAATTGTAAATTAACTAAACTATTCTTATCGATTAAATGTTAAATATTTCTATGGCAGTCGATTGACTAAATCATCGATTAAATGTCTGAAGATACTTCCATGGTAATATCGATTATATACATATAAATGATATACATACGTTTAAATTGTGATTAGATGATGATTGGAGGTAGTCGACAGGAAACCCCGGACCCGGGTTTCGTGCTACTTGGCACTCGTCAGCTAGGTGTACCTGTAGTCTTGAGGGAACTGATGCTCCCTGGCGGATTTGATCTCGTGTCACTCAGCTTCACAATCAGAGACGTTACCACTGAACTATCCGAGCCGCAACCAACCTCCTGTAGGACTGAGATGAAATTCCTCAAGATTACAGGTACATCATGCTGACGAGTGCCAAGTAGCACGAAACCCGGGTCCAGGGTTTCCTGTCAACTACCTCCAACCACCATCTAATCTCAATATATAGTGCCCGCAGTGTCGAGTCACCTAGACGGGTGGCCACATTGCAACATGATCGATAGCATTCGATCTGCACTAATAAGGACTAGACACGCATGACACTGATCGCCACCCAGTGATCAATCGATTGTGACGTTTGAATTGTGTTTGTGGACCGCTGTGGGCTTGCTCGTTTCTGGCTGTTTGCAGAATATACTTTCACATTCCAAGCTTGGACTTCCCCCTTTAGTTAGCTGGGCTGGGACGCATCAAATAGCTAGCTTACTGGTCTTTGGTCACTGAGTCTTTGTTCTCGTTCGCAGATTAAGTGAACGCGTGATAGAATCAACCCTAGCAAGTTTGTACTTCGTAAATGCATGGCAATCATATTAAAATCGATGGGAATTTTCATAACACATATACGTCGTAAACTCGAATTATTTTTTTTTTCATTTTAAGGCGTGTTGAGTATACTTCACTTTTAAGATTCTGTTATTTTAGTTTTTCTTTTCACATAAGAGACCATAAAACCTGATGACTAGGTTACATCAAATTTCCACTTTATCAGAAGTTGATGGATAGTTATTCAAGAATAACAATGAATAACTATTTACTATTTTCTAACATTATAGTTTGCTCACTTAAAATGGTGAGACTATAATTTATGCACGAACCAATCAGATTTAGGAAAACAGGTCTCGGATTCAGGCGCGAAATTCACTCACTCATTCGTCCAAATAGCGTCTTCACATTTTAGCTTATGTCAGTTCGTAATGAAAACCATAAATCTAAATCCTAACCCTTACCATCAACTGTAAATAATTGTCTTTGTTCTTCAAACTGCTTTGTAACCATCATTTAGCCCTATTAAGTAGGTAGACACTCTCAAGGCATTGCTCAAAGGTAATCCATAAATTATATTCTCACCCTTGAAATTTATTAATAAAAAAACGTTTTAACCAACTCACTAGAACCAAACAAAATGAATTTATGTTGATCTCCTCAAATCATTTTGTTTATATCTACCAAAATTCTTTACGGACAAATTGATATTGTTTGATAGTCTAGACAGATAAACCTAGTTGTTAGGACTTGAAATATGACTGATATTTTGAACTTTAGAGGTTGATGTTTAGAATTCAACAACTTTAAGGTTTCTAAGAGCTGGGACTAAACTGAATTTAGAATATGTGTTACTCAATATTAAAGCTAAATATAATATTAGGGAAGTTGGCAGTATGGAGTTGAGTTACAACGAGTACATACGACTTCGCATTGTGTCATTTACGTTTAGACATCATTGTACTTACAATCCCATTTATTTGGTATTAAATGTTCTATGCATTAAGCTACATTCAACTTGCAGTGCAGCGTAATTTTCACTCTACTCTTCAAAGTTCACAGATTTCTTTACAACAACAGTACAGCAATCTAGAAGCTAGTCACAAAAGATCATATGATCAATAGTAAATTAACATGTCCTAATGAGGACTTCTTTAGTATTTAGTTTATTTTATTTCGGTTTTCAACCATTCGGATTAAATATCCGTGGAATTAAGGATTTTCGTTAAAAAGAGTGTGCTACTTTCCAATAAGTCATGATGAATAGAATATGAATATTTCTGACCTTCTGCCGATATAATTTGGTCAACCATTTAGCAAAGTATTTAAAAATGATACAACACTGTATGTTTGCTAAAACTGTTTGTTCCGTGAGCCAAAAATGCTTATGTCGAATTCATCTGTAATTTCCGACTAAGTAACATTTTTTACTACTGTTTTACTCAAACCAAGTAAATGTTTCCTAGTCAATTAACTGTAGATACTCATACTATATAGCTTCATGGTGAACATTTAGAACAACGTAATACTTTAATTAGAATATTGTTTTCATTGTTCGTATAAGCTGAGATCAGATAGCCCATTCTTAACTGTAGTCAAACGATCTCTTAGTTTAATTAATTCATGTGTACAAGTATGGATATTTAGTACCAAATAATTGATAAAAATAATGGATTTTCATTATTAACGACTGAATACATAAGAAAAACGAATTACATCACAAGTACTTTATACTTTACACCATTTTAAAAAACTTGAAGTATTATCACGTCATTATTTATAGTTATTTGTTGTTGTACTATGAAGTTTGCTGTTATATCTAGTTTCAGGGCTAGCTACTTTGGCCGGTGGCGACTGATCCACCAAATGAGGTGGAAGTCCGCAAGGAACTCCAACTCTTGAACCTCTACAAATCACCGGGCCTAGATCACTTACCTCTGGCTCTTTTTAAAGATGGTGGTGAATTCTGGCTAAAGAACTGACAACGTTGTTTACAAAAGTCTGTGAGCTAGAGAGTGTACCAACGTCATGGAATGAGTCGATAGTTGTCCTCATCATTAAAAAGGATTCACATCATTCCTGTAACAACCATCGGGGGATAAGTCTACTTCCCATTGAGTCCAAACTATTAGCTTCCGTCATAACTCGTAGGCTGTTCAAAACTCCAGAAAGATTGATTCGCGAAGAGCAGGCTGGGTTTCGTTCTGGTTGAGGATATATTGATCACCCTCCGCCAAATGTTAGAACACCGTCATACTCATCACAGACCAACAATCGTAGTGTTTCTCGACATCAGGGTTGACTTCGATTCGTTGGATAGGACTGTTCTCTGGGATTGTCTATTGAAGAAGAGTGTGCCTGAGAAGTTCATTAACATCCTAAAGGCCCTATATACAAACACCTCAGGTAGAGTGAGGGCACACAACCACCTCTCTCCATTGTTCCATTCAAGCAGTGTGGTTAGACAGGGTTACTCAATCTCATCATTCTTCTTCAACTTTGCCATCGATGACATTCTGGAAACAGCTCTGATGGATGTAAGTAACGGCGGTGTGGATCTGTTGCCTGGAGAAAAACTTCTCGACCTTGAGTATACAGATGATATTGTCTTACTGTGCGACAATGTCCAAGCCATCCGATCCGCACTTAATCAGTTGGTAATCAGTGTCCGTAGGTATGGTATGTGCTTTGCACCTTCGAACTGCAAAGTACTTCTACAAGACTGGCAGAATTCCAATCCTGTACTCACCCTGGATGTTGAGCAGATAGAAGTAGTCGAGAAGTTCGTGTATCTGGGTAGCTGCATAAGTGCTGGTGGGGGTGTGAGTGATGAGATCAATGCATGTACAGTGAAAGCCAGAGTGGGTGATGCCAATCTGGGCCATCTTTGGCGCCTTCTTGATGTTAGCCTGGCTGTAAAAGGTGGTCAGTGTATGACATGGTGTCGTGGTATGAAAGAAATCTGCAAGGGGCTGGCCTGTGTTGGTCCTTCACGACTCCCTGGTTGGGGTCCGTGAGATGGTGCGAAATAATGGTTAGAGACGTTATCAGATATGGCTGAGAATATAAGCCAGTGGTGATCCTGCTGTAACCTTCTTTTACTTTCTTCATAAAAAGTGGTTTTATCTTCCTTAACTGAAAGATCTCTTCCGATTTCGCGTTTCTCTTTCACCCATTATAATAATATTATTATTATTATTACACTAATCTGTGGTCATTGTCGTTCTTCCTTTTTTCTTTTCTTTTACGTTCCCTACCCTTTTTCTCTTCCCGTTCTGATTGTTTTGTTAGGTGCATATATATTTGGTGCCTTTTTGTACTAATATTTATGTGTTCAAATAAATAAATAATAAATAATTTGTAAATAGTCTAATTTACTTCCCTTATTGGTATATATATATATATATATATATATATATATATATATATATATATATATACGTTAAAATTCTACTTACTTCTTGAACTCTGTGTTCTAGTTTATTGAGTAAACTTCGTAATTCATCGCGTTCTTGTCGAAGTTTAGTCAACTCCGTGTAATCGTCTCGAGTCTAAAAGAAATTACAATGAAATAAAATTGGACAATGACAACGACCATGGAGTATTTTATACAAAATGAACTACTTCATTTATATAAATTCAAAAGATCAATATGTTTTTGAATAAAATAATGAAATTAAACTTATTTTCAGCAGAATGCTTTCTGAATCAAAATTTCTGGGATATTTTTCTTATGTAAAGAAAGTGATCTAAATTGAGCTATGTAATTGCGAAAATATACGTTTGAATTCCAATGATGACTAATGTACATTTAACCACGTGCTGGAAGATATTGACGGACGAGTAACATCATGCTGGTTTATCGGTAATCATGTCATAGTGAACGAAAGCACAAACTGAGACGATCGAATGTATTTGGACATAAAATTATAGAACAAATTAGTAAAATCTGAGAACCAGACAGTAAATTTGAGAAATGCCAATCAATTGTCTCAAACTTGACTGTTCCCTTTATCAAACATTAATCATTCGTCTCAGACTTCATTGTTCTTTTATTTTCACAATAATCATTCTTTGTTCCCGTTCTCTTTTCTTTGATCCTCTTAACCTTCTGTCTCTAAGCATTTCACTTTTGATTGATGATATATACTACTTATATTTATCAACATCAGTAGCACACACCACAGTATAAATAAAATCTTTGAAATTTAACTGGTATCTAAAATAGTAAACTTGTATAAGTCCAGTGTTTTAATAGTCAAATAGTCCCTTGATTAAGGGGCAAAAATATTCCAATTTCATGCAAATAATCATGAAGATAGCCATTGCTACACTGATTAAAAATAAATACATGATATAACACTCAACGCTTTATTACTGTTACGGTATATGACTTCTTGAAAATTGAAAAATAACATTTATATTCTTAACATATATCTCCGATTTTATCCTTTCAAATTGAACCCGTTAGAAATCTAATCTCTGTCCAATAAAATTAAATTTACTATAGAACATTCCTTTTTAAGGAAACTGCTGTCCAAAGCTCTTTGTAATGAACAATGCTACCAATGTGTAGCTCAAAGTTTAATCAATAACTTATTATCATTTCCTACTAGGTAGAAACAGAGCAAAGAAACTAACTGTATGTGATGTTTGTAATATTTGAAGTAAATATTATCTAACCTTAAAAACACAATAAAATAACTCATTCATCTCTTAGCCCCAGCTACGTCAAAAGCTAAATTCTAGAAGAAAGATGTATTTGGAAGAAATCAAAGGATTTCAGCACATTTTCATATATGTCAATTAATTTATTGTAGGTTTTTGATTAACGTACCATTTGTACTGTTGACAAATTACTCAATGTAGTCGGTAGTTTACTGAATGGATTAATTCTTTGTGGGTATATATAAAATAAATCTTCCTTATAATAATAAGCTTTTGAAGTAGACGCAGTTCAATCCTCGTTAGGATCATGATTAAGCTTCTGAATTTTTAATGATGATTTAACTAGATTCATTGTGAGATAAAATGTTTAAGAAAATTCTGTAATCTCATACTTATTACACAAGCAACCTACCTTTACTGTACATTTTTAACGTATCATTTCGTCAATTATGTCATTGCTATTACCTCAAATAACTCTTCTGTTAATCATTTTATTATCTGACTGCATTATGTATAACGGACTACCAACTTTAATCTTTGTATTTCTTTTACGTTATTCTACTAGTTTTCATATACAGATGTAACTAATAATATCTATATTCTACGAAGGGGTTAATGTTGTAACTAATATATATGTGCTACTAAACTCATCTATGAATTCTTAACAGTTGTACATTTCTAGTTTGTTCGAGTTTATCGTGTATGTTTAATAATATTCTATACATGTTCTTTACTTATTGAACCATCTCTGCCAAACATTTGTTTATTTGTTCATGCCAAACTCTTGAAATATAATTCCCATTTATCCCACTTCTTTGAGGTTTTATAAATATGATCTCAATCTTAACTGTGACTCTGAGAGTAAACATCCGTGGATCAATAAATTTCTGATATGTTTCAAGCAGTTCGATATTAAAAGTAGCAACAAGAACTTTAATAGCAGCTAAAGAGTAAAGTCGATATAATATAACATCTGTCCGTCATTACATTTGAGCTGACGATTCAGTGTTATATTAGACAATAAGTAATGTGAAAAGTCTCATAAACATGCATGGTTGCCGATATTTCTGTTAGACTATCTAGTTCTTCACATTAGATGTAAATAAATTAACCACCACGAGAAAATGTGTATTTCTCTAGATAAGTCACTGAACATTTAACACCACTGATAAGAACTATCGAATGAATTGTATTTGGACCTAATAACCATAGTCATGTATCTATAATAAAACTTCAGTCATTTCATCCATCATATCTGGATGTAAAACTTACTTATAACCAATAAGTTTATACCAAAATAAAACGGCAAATTTTACCTACCATATGTCTGCTATAGTTTAACAAGTGAATGGTATTAAACAACATTACACATAAGTAAGCAAGTAAGTAGGCTATTGTAATATTTCATTATGTTCAGTCTGTATGATACTACTTTAAACAACTTAAATATCTGATTTAATCATTTAGAACGTTTTACTAAAGCGTGATATATATATATATCTTATTATTCTGGTTAGCGTTTTTTTAGCAAGCTTGTTTCACACGGGAAACTAGGAAAAAACATTAGAGGTGGATAGGACGTACATTGCGGAAATCATACTGCATCACGAGGTAAGCGCTAACTTGGAATCCTGAAAAAAAAAACGGAAAAGAGGAAGACCTAAGAATACACTGATTCGAGTATTTGGAAGCAGGAATCAAAAGGATGAATAGCAACTGGAAACAACTGAGTAGGATTGCCCATAACAGAGTTGGATGAAAAAAGCTGTGTGTGGCCTATGTTCCTCTATGAAGGGTAACAGGCGTAAGTAAGTGAGTAATATCTTCTCAGGATACGCGCCAGTTTACGTTTTTACGTTACCCAACCCTAGTGACGCAACTCACTAATAATTCCTAGTGTACTCTGATGAACATACAACCGTCGTGGGAAATTAGAACCTGACGCTGGGGCTTACAATCTTTCTGTAAAACTTAATTTAATATTAACAAGTTTAGTAACATCACAGAAAGACAATAAAACAAACTCAAGAAAGATGAATAGAAACTCTCAACGCTCCCAAATAGTGTATTAAATATGTTACGTAAGTATGTGATCAAAATGAAAGGAGCCAACATCCATTTCAAACAATCTAGGCCTGAAAGATTAGAGTAAGATATATGAAACCGAATGTAAATCACTATAGATAAGTGATAGGCGAAAATTTGTAATTTGAAATTACCTGCGATATAAATCAATATGGGTTCAAAAAATTAAGAAAAGTTTATTTACATTAGTCATAAATACAAAAGTTTTGTTTTCATTTTAAAAACAATAAAACAAACAATTTGTTTATTCTTACTGAAATGAATTGAATTACAACTGTAAAAGGTAAGATTATTTGTCAGTCATAGTCAGTCATACGCAACGTAAGACTTGACACATGTGTGCATCGGTCCAAGTTGCCATACCTCATTAACACAACAACATGAACGCCATATTCATAGAATTAGTTACTTCAATGATAGTAATATGTAAAAGAAAGGTTGGATACAAGGACATAGTACTGGAAGAAAGAATTAGTTCGTTGAAAGAAAGATATGAAGTGATTTTAATCTCATAGTTTAAGAGAAGACAGAGAGTGTATACACCTACGTCATTGTGATCGATTCTGAACCATGTCACACAGAGTATCCAATCATTGGTTACAATAGTCACGCCGACCGCAACAGAGTAGTCTGTATCTACCAACATGGCTCAGACAAGAAGTTAGTGACTTCAAACACTGATGCCATATTTTGGCTTGTCCTCTCTAACTTTCTTCCAACCATCCCCAACACTAGTCAGCATCGCCTGTCATGGTAATCGGTGTTCAGGCATACGCAACACCCCATAGCAAAGTATGATGAAATCCCAAAGAAATCCAAGTAATTAGAGTATTAGTGTTAATATAAAAGATTAAGGAATGAAGATATAACTCGTGAAGAAACGATGGATTAGAAAAATTTAGAAAAATTGATAAGGTAAGTTAGAAACTTTGGATCTAAAAGAAGACAACGAATAAATACATTTATGCTAATAATATCACTGGTAGAACCTTTAAACAAAACTATGTCAACTTAATAAAATATGATTTAAAAAATAGATATATAGTGAATACTATGAACTGATTCACGAATTCAGTTATATCGAATGTAATCAATGCCTGATGTATTATTTCACTGTACACTAGTGAAGTGATACTTTAATTTTAAAAACAAAATACAACGTATTTGAAAAATGTCAACTTTAAAACTGACATATTAATTTAAGGTGACATTTGTCCAGTTGACCTTTAATACACTTTTCGTTGTATTAATTAGTTCAATGTCGTTTTATTTGTTCAAATGTTAAATGTTAAATTCGGCAAATTCATTAACTGATAATTATTGAATATAGATGGTAAAGTAGTAAATGAAATCCAATGTGAAATAATCTTAATTGATCTCATGATCACATGAATTTTACATACAAGATTTGTATTTTGAAGTAATCAGGATTTGGAGAGAATGAAACTATTATATCATGGTATCAAAGTGTAGTTGGCAGTTATTAATGTTATCTCATCCATGTCCATTCTCAGATAGGTCAGCGGTGATGAATATAAATTATACAAACAATTTTTTGGATTGAGACCATGTACCGATTGATGTTAGAACACCGTTAGAAACCTGGAAACAGTGGACGGCCGTTTCGTCCTATTGTAGGACTCCTCAGCAGTGCGCATCCACGATCCCCCTTGCGGGATTACAACCCAGGGCCTTCTGTCTCGCGCGCGAACGCTTAACCTATTTGACCACTGAGCCGGCATCCAATGGTGATAGTGTCTAATATCAACCATCGGTTCATGATCTCAATCAAAAACTTAGTAATCTCCACAACCCCTATACTAGTAGTTATTACAAAATAATTTGTAACAAAAGTGCAGTCATTTTGTTAACCATATCAAAAATATGTTAAAATAAGTTAGAGTGAATTGACCTGATAACGCTTTAAGTAAATTTATGTGAACAGAGTCAGTTATATAGTTTGCTTTTTAGGATATCATTATGAATCATTTATATATAGACATGTATACTAGAGGATTTGTGGATATTTTCGAATTATACTGTTAAGTGAGGAACAGTGACTAAAAGGGTGTAACCTTGTCAAGTGTTGGACAGTTACTCAACAACAGAAATGGAAATTAGCTGGGCAATATAACTAACTGATTGAAGTTAACCGTACAAACCACTGGATGCTCGCTCAGTTTCTTAAATGTTAAGTACTAGTAGCTAGATGTGAAAGTCCTGAGTTCTTAGATGAGCATCCTTGGTTAAAACAGATATCCAATCCTCCTGGTCTCCAACGATTATTTAATTAAGATCATTTCGTGGAATAAACTATATATACTGCACAACTGAACGCAAAGTAAGCAAAACAGTATTAAATCTAGCTTACCTGAAATCGATTTAATGATCTTGATCTAGTCACTGGTGATGGACTTCTATGACGAGATCGTGTTATACTATCTAACTCTTGACGTAGTAAATCTCTTTCAACACGTAGTTCTTGGACTTGTTGTTCAAGCTGAAAGTGCAAATAGTTAGTTAATCAGAGATGTTAAAACATATAATTTGTAATATATAGATGTAATATATTGTAAATATTGTATTACCTAATACTTATAAAATAGTGAGGTTAACGAAAGTTTGAATTACATAGGAAAAAAAATAATATTTCATGCTTTTTCGACCACGTCAATCATTAAATAAGTGTCTTTTAAAAATGAATTGGTCTAAGATTTTCGTTTAAAATCACTAGAAAATTAACAAGATAACAAATAACCTAAAACTCTTCAATACACTTAAGAGTTGTTACTCTCTTAAAGATGAAATCCAAAAGTTATACATCGTGTTTGATCAACATTTCAGTCATATACATTATGCTTTATATACATAACATGAAAGCAGAGTGGTTTCTTCGTAGTGTGTTTATCTTACTGATATTCATTCATTACATCAAAATATTACAGATACACTGTTTTAATCAAGTTATAAATAAGCGTTTTAGTGTCTTTTATTATTCATTATTCGACATATCCAGCCACGAACTTTACTTTGCTCATATTTAAGTGATACTGAAAACGTCCAATACTTGACCAATTTAATAATTCAGTTTGATGAAATTCTAATTAATGTCGAAGGATTGGATGTTACAAAGTTATTCAGGAAAAGGGCACTGAAGCACTGAACATGATTCTTTAGAATGTTTTTCAATAGTTAAGATCATGAGTCGATTGAAGCTAGACCACCATGGAAAACCTGAGGGCAAAGGACCGCCGTTTCGGTACCATTAGGTCCTGGGTTCGAATCCCGTGAGGCGAGATCGTGGATGCGCACTGCTGAGGAGTCCCACAATAGGACGAAGCGGCCTTCCAGTGCTTCCAGGTTTTCCATGGTGGTCTAGCTTCAACTGACTCATTATCTCAACTATTGAAATTACTAAAATCTCCACAAAACCCCGTTCTGGTAGAATGTTTTTGTTTTATCTTGTAACCTCAGTGTCCTCTTGACGTATGACGTAACGATACCGCCAATTAGAGAACAGTGAATTATCGATCGGACCAAGGACGCATAAAATCTGTGCAAACACTCTACAGTCCTTATTGATCCTGTTTTCCGCCTAGCCAGCCAGTTAAGTCCAGAACACAGATCTCAGTCTCTGTGATATGAATTATTTATGTCAAACCTACTGGGTTTATATACTAACCAGACAGATCACGTCGTACCATAAAATAGGAAACAACATTTGTACAAGATTTGGCTAAATGTGGCTGTGAATGTGGGAGGCAGTGACTAATCGACAGGGCATAATACAAGAATGGTAAATCGTATGATAACAGTTCATAGATCAAAATAATGCTCATAATAAGAGGGATATTAATATGAATAGTTTAGTTATTTAACAATTATACGATCAAAATATACGTATAGTATTGGTCCATAAATGGATCGCAAACGTTACCACTCATTATGTTTATCGGAACATAACAGTTTTAATATTACCCTGTCAAATATATTCGTTCTTGATTTTAGTATATATATATATATATATATAGAGAGAGAGAGAGAGAGAGAGAGATTATTAAGAATCTCTGCAAAAAGAAATTCCGTCCTTTTTTGGTTGAATATCAAGTTATCACAATTTCCTATCACTTTCATAATTATGCCCTTTGATGTACTCTTTTCATTTCTACGATGCAAATATACTCATAATGTTAGAAAAAATAATTAACCATAGAAAAATGGATGTTCAGAATATAAAAAAGCTTGTCATTATCTTATAGAATTTTAATCGATTGATTGGTTTTATCACTTATTGATTTAATATAATGAGCGAATAAGATCTGGCTTTTAATGTCACGCTACAAACCAAAGTGCGGTAATAGAAAAGTGAAGGTATAAACGAACTATAATGAATGAACAGTTAGTTTGTTTAAGCAATGTCACTGCCCACATTTGTCAGATATCTGGGTTATTTTAACGATTTATAGATAAAAACCATCTGTGATCACTCTTTTCTCAGTAAGCGTACGATCCTATGAATCTCATCTTATAACTACTTGCAGAATCATTCTTTAGGAGAATGAATTGTTGAGTAAATTAAAAGGTAATCTATATCATAACCTTTCTTGCAAGACATTATAAATCACTTAAAATGACTTTCCATTATCCAATTCAATTGGAATTAAACACTTCGAGTTTTATAGTCCTGGCATTAATACAAATTTTACTGAGCTAATGTAAAGTAACTAACCCATCTTCATTCTTCACATATATGATAACTGATTTTCTACTAATACACATAAGTTAAGTGAATAACCAAAATAAAGGCTTCCAATTCTGCTTTACTAAAAGCGTTCAATCTCATCTACATCAGATAACATATCATAAAAGATTCTGGCAGCCATGCGCAACCATTTATGTATGGTTGACGACCTCATTATTGTTTATTGTTGTATAATATCTATAATCCGTCTTGTAGGATCAATAATATTAATTTAAATTAGGTAAGGTCATTGAAGCACAAAAGCGTCTCTTTAATTAAACTCAATACATTTTACTTAGCAAAACTCCCAGTTGAATTCATAACCAATAGCATTGTTGAGTTTTATATCGATTTAAATGATAATATCGCACCTATATACTATTGTGAGGGCTATAAACTCTATTGTCGAGTGATTTTTATGTTCCAATGAAAGCTTTTAAATACATTTACATCTTAAGATAGTCACTAAAACAAAATGTAGAAAATATTCCAACTTTTTTTGACTCAAAATACCTTATTATTAGAATGCTGATGATACTATGTCAAAATAAACTAGTGTCTAGTATTATAAGCAATGATGGACAGTGGCTAGCAGCAGAATCCAGGACGTATGTTTCGTCCCATTTAAGACTCATCAAATGGATGTAGGTGCATCTCAGTTGATGTTCACCCCGAGAGTCATACCTACTACTGTTCGCTTCAAATGTCATCGTGTAATCTACTTACTACTGAGTCCTGATAACCACTGGCTTGTGCAATGGGGTGAAACTTGAATTCACTTGGTATTGTTTACTAGAATATTCCCATTGAATTTTAGGACTGCGATTGATCAGTTTCTTATTGGCATATGTGCATACTGTGTGTACTGCCCCCAAATGCCCTGGTATGGCTGTATCGCTGTATTCGAAGGATCGCTGACATCCAGTGGCAACACCATGTCAGTAATGCAGAGGTTCGGCATCGTGTGTTCGGGCACAGAGACGATAATGCAATTGGTGTCACCATCTTGAAACATCGACTTCGGTGGCTTGGACATGTTCTACGAATGTCGTCTCAGAGAATTCCACTTCGTGCATTATTTGCCGACTCTGGGACTGGTTGGAAGAAGCAGAAAGGTGGTCAGTGTATGACATGGTGTCATGGTATGAAAGAAAGCTGCAAGGGGCTGGCCTGTGTTGGTCCTTCACGACTCCCTGGTTGGGGTCCGAGAGATGGTGCTACACAGTGGCTAGAGACGTTATCAGATATGGCTGAGAATATAAGCCAGTGACGATCCTGCTGTAACGTTCTTTTACTTTCTTCATAAAAAGTAGTTGTATCTTCCTTAACTGAAAGATCTCTTCCGATTGTACGTTTCTGTTTCACCCATTATTTTTATTACACTACCTTACACTAATCTGTACGTTATTGTTTTTTTGTTATTCTTTTACGCTCCTTACTTTTTTTTCCTTCTTCTCTCCAAATTCCCATTGTTTTGTGTGGCGCATATATATTTGGTGCCCTATTGTACCACTATTTATGTGTTCAAATAAATAAGTAAATTGCCTCGATATTGCTTTATTTCATTATAAGGAAAGATGTATAGTGGCTAGCAGTTGACCTTTGTAGCTAAGTGGATAACGTGATGATTTTTGAAGGGAAAGGTGTTGGGTTTGATTCCTAGAGTGAACACCAACTCTGGGATGCAAGTACATCCAGCTGAAAAGTCCCAAATATGACGAAACGCGTGCTCTGGATTCTATTACTAGCTAATATCTTTGCTTATAATGCTTGTAAATTAATGCAATATTGAGAGAATCCGTACAAAATGCACGAATGTCAATAAGAGATTGATCACCTGCAGTCCTAAACATCAATAGAAAGATTCAAGTAAACAATACCAAGTGAATTTAATGTTTCTATTAATTATTCTTTGAATTTTTAGAAGTTTATATTACTATTGTCTAAGGACTGTTATAAGTTTCATAGACAACTTGGAGTACAAACAGGAACATATACACACTAGGTCTCATTGAAATGCAACTATTATATAACATTGAAAGAGCTCACTAGCACATATTAGTCCATAAATATCCTTTAGTATGATGCTTCAACAAATCGGGTGTTCAAATATAGAGTAATATTTAACTTTTTTGTATCAGACTTGTTTGAAATATCAACAATTAACAAGTGATCTAACTAATTCATAACAAATACCTTAGTAGAAGTGAGAGCTTTGATATAGTTTTAACTTGATATTTTTAACTAAAATAAATACAAAAGTTTGCGGAAAAATCTACTGTTAATAAGACATTTAATGCATCATTCTCTAAACTAAGTAATCGAATATATAAATCATGTTTTGACATATTCAGTAGTGAATACAAACCACATCAAATTTCGTATTTCACTATAAAACATTAATCATGTTATTAAATTGCAGATGAATACTGTATACCTCAGTTCATCTTCATTTTACACTAAACTTGTTATAAGAATAGTTGATCAAATGTGCTCTTCAAATGCAAGATAATTAGCTACTGTCTAGTTGTTTTTCTCCCCCTTTTTTTCACTGTATCATTGCTTTGCATTTAGAAGCTTACTTTTATTGTTTACAGCCTAACTAACAGTATTTGTAAAATGTTTATTATTAGTAATAGATGTTCATTTAAAAGTAGTTATTCAAGGTATTTAAGAAATCACTCATATATTAAAATTGGGTAAGAGTATAATTTGTGTGAATACAGTCTATTCGGTAAACTTGTGAACTTTAGGGATAAAGCTCTAATTGCACGTTATGATTTGGCATAACCTTGGTGGTTTGACATTACGTAACTACTAATTAATGTAATTTTTAATTTCTTTATAATTATAACAACTATTGAGACTTTCTAATTTTTATCGCTCATTACTGTCCTATGTGTACACGTGAAATTGTTTACTGAATAACCATAGTTCTTTACAATCCTTCTCTACTCATCAGACATAAAAGCCCTCGAAAATTATATTCATTATTGAAATACAAAATAGCCATGCGAAGGTGGTATATAAATAACATGGAGACAATAGGGTAGTTGAAGAACCTGAATTCTGAGAACTTCTATGAGTGTTTTTGAAGAACAAAAACTTACTGTATTTCTATGAATGAGGGTAGTATATTTATTGAACGGTATCAAACTAACATACTGCAAAATTTTACAAAATAAAATCTTTATTCTATCAGTTCGATTATTTATTGAATAAACTATATATAGACCAGTAAAATTATTTACTTTTCTTTGTTTTGCATCTTTTAAAGAACCACCTAATTTACTTGGTGTTGTTGTATGTTGTCCAGTAGGTGGTTTACTTTTCAATCGACTACTTGTTGTTGTACGTCCAATCCCACTACCTTCAGTTCCACTTGTTAATGAAGGATAATTTAACATTTGTTGCAATATTTCCACTTGTCCACGCCAATAATCACGATCTGCTTCAATTCCAGATATAAATTCATCTAATTGACTGATACGTTTAGTTCGACCATCACTTGTACCACCATGTCGTTTAAGTCTTTCTAATTCCAGAACTAGAGCTCGTTCTAAAATAATAGTAATTTTTTAAAAAGTTTGAGAAATGAAAAATGGTGACGCAGTGAAAAAAAGGAAATATCGTCGATACATATAATTAATCTTAGATTTATAGATAAACTCCGCTTGTAGCTCTTCTAGGGCTGCTGCCGGTCCCAAGTTCGGGTAAAGGAGGGGAATTGGGTACGGAGTTGACGATCCCATCCAGTAGAAAAAAGCCTTGATAAAAATACGCTAACTAGATTAAACATATAGATGAACAACAATGCCAATACCTGAAAGGTTATGTAATTTTCAGTATAATTCACAGATCAAGACTTGATACTCAGGCGATTTAGTTTTCGAAAATCAACATATTTTGTTTACATATTTTTATATATGATTTTCATCATTTCATTCCAAACATGAAAGTAAGCTTAACACAGTTCAATAGTCATTTGAAAATCAGCTTAGAAACATAAGTTGAATGATTTTGCAATAATCTGAGTGTAATAGTGCTGTGGTGTATGCTACTTATACTGACACATATGAGTAGTACCTAGCATGAATCTGTAGTAGAATACATGTTAATATAAAATTGAGAAGATTGAATTGAACAGAAAGGGCAATAGAATTGAGAGAATCATAAACCATGTAAAGGACAATTGATGGACGATGTGCATATCATGTATTTAACGTATACTTTCCATTTTTTGCTAAAGTATTCTGTAATTTTGCATTGAACAATAAATTGATCTTTATCACGTGAATTTTCGTTTACTACAGTACTCTACAATCGTACTGAATAATTGCGTTTATGTTACATTGTTGAAGTTCCTATTACAACTATACACAATATATGTATGCAATTAGCATAATGTTATTAAGATACAACACAACCAGTTCCCTTAATCAATTTACACAAACAATCACAAGATTTGAAGAGTAAAATGAACTCAAGCTAATTTCTCATTAGCTGTAAATAAATCAAAATTACAAAAAAAATAATCTCCACAACCCTATACCGATAGTGCAATTATAAACAAATGTTTAGGATAAACTAGCTCGTACAGTTGAAACAGAACTGAAAATAATCATCAGAATTGAACACATAGTACACTGATTGAAAACTTGTATTTATATGTTGAAATGTGACAATGAATAGTAGAGTGGTTGATATGATAATTACTAATAATCAAAATAGCGAAACATCGGATTACATGAAAGCAATCAAATAAATAAATAAATATTTTTTGTTTCTTGTTCATCTATTTGGGATCCATTAAATAGAATAAGTTCGTTTTACTCTGTAAATTTTGTTATTCAAACATAAAATATTTGGTCAATAAACCGGAATCCAATGGTTTATATGTTTAATATCAACCCAAATTTTATGAGTTCGATTCCAGGTTTAACCATAGATGCGCTCTTCTGAGTAGTCCCATGCTAGGAATAGACATCTATTCAGTTCTTCGTAGTTTTTAATGTTCTTCCAACAAATATATGTCTTTGATGTATATTTTGTAATTAAAATGATACTGACAACTTAATTATTATGTTTTACATTGTCTTTTCCTAGATAGCATAATCAAATCTCTGCTTTTCGGTGCATAATAATGAGCGAAAAACCATATTCAGAATAGCTCAAAATCACTTAGTTGATTTACTTAGGCCACTTGTTCCTGTTAGGTAGTCGTAAAATATCCCTCGTTAAAGTCCAGAGGCCCATAAAATGTCAGTGAGTGTTTTATCCAATCTGTGTTAAGTAGAAGTACCTCAGAAACATCTAGAAAATTGGTGCATATTTTGTCACGTTTCGATTAAATAATTATTTATCCCACTACCATAATTGACATGTTTGCAGGATGTTCTAGATGACCAATGCGACATGAATTCCTACCAATACACCGGGTTTCCTGTTCATAGATACTGATATTTTGCTTCTTTTTTTCCTGCTATATGAGTTGAGGTATAAAAGCAATCTAGCGTTGAAGGAACTGGCTAGGAACTCAGTATTAAGTGTTCTAGTAGTAGACTTGACATATTTTATAATGATTTGTGTGATAAATTTTCACCAATTTTTAAAAAAAATGTCAGTCTAGTGATTATGATTAAAACAAAAATTACGAACACCAACGACCTTTAATTTCTATTAGAAATCTACACACCATTTATCATATTAAGGAAGAATTAAGGTTAGTAAGAAATTAGTTTCTCTCACTGATTTTTTGAAAAAAATGAGTCTAAAGAACCTGACTAGTATGATACGAAAACACTGATAATCGAAAATTCTAACATTACTTTGGTTCTATTCGGAAAATAGAAGATTTAAGACGGAAACGAAAAATTCATCAAAAATAGCTATCAGTATGAGGGTTGTAGAGATTATTGCGTTTTTGATTGATATCATGAACTGACTGAGGTTAGACCACTGTTGGAAACCTGGAAGCACTGGACGGCCGTTTCGTCCTATTGTGGGACTCCTCATGAGGGGAATTCTCGGAGTTCTAGTGATAAGCCTTGACCAGTGGAGCTAGTCCGTGTCAGGTAGAGTACAGGTATCTATCTCTGTACAATGGAAGATGGTCGCACAATTTCGTGGATTGGTTGATGTTCGACATTAACACCATTGGATGCCACCCCAGTGGTCCAGTAGGTTAAGCGTTCGCGCGCGAGACTAAAGGCTCTGGGTTGGAATCCCGAGAGCGTGATCGTGTATGCGCACTGCTTAGGAGTCCCATACTAGAACGAAACGGCCGTTCAGTGCTTCCAGGTTTTCCATGTTGGTCTCGCTTCAATCGACCCATGATTTCAACCAGTAAAACTGATTTCTTCAGTAAATGGATATTGAATTCAAGGTTAAGACAGTAATATGTTTAAATAAAAGCAACATATTCCACATGTATATTTGAAGTAATAAAATTATTTTAAATAATGTCAAGAAAAGTTGAATTTCTTTTTAAATTAATACTATACCGTTTGCAGTTAATTTTTCTATTCTTTGAGCTAAACGTTTTTTATCTTCTTCAGCGCGTAAAATAAGATTTCTCATATCACGTTCACTTGTATCCATTGTATGACATTTTTTCTGTGCATCGGATAAGTTACGTTCTAGATTTTCTCTTTCCTAATAATTAAAAATGTAAGCGTTTTCCAATATATAATAAATGTCATAATAATAGATGACTTATATATCTAACAATCATACAATAAATAGAAAATGACCAACAAATGTAGGATTACATAATGCATATGTGCTTATAACTATGAAAGACAAACAATTAAGTAATGAGAAAATAATAAATCTAAACAGGGTTAAAATAGTGGATGTACGGTTCGTTGGTATAAAACATTGACTTGTAGCTTTTGTTATTATGTTAAGCCCATATACACTTTATTCTAGCTTTCGGACAGCCCATTCTATTCATCCTACTTGAATCACATTCTGACTTTGTTAATTATTCGCTTATCAGTCTTGACTGTTTTTATATGAGCGTGTAGGTGTGTGTACATTTCTTATCCCATTACTCATCACATGTCTGTAACTTACTTTTGTGTAACTATAAATATTGATTAACGCTTGGTTAAATGGGGAGTTGGCTTACCAGCCATCTCCACTCTGTGTCGTTTCTCTTCTCTCTTTTCCATTCGCTTTATATACAAAATGTAGGTATTCACAAGTCCATTCTCGTTATTCGACTTATTTAATTCCGTTACTGAATAACGCGATTTAAGTCGATGATTATATACGAGGATAGGCGATAACAAACATTCATACGATCTAATTGGAGTCAGATCCACGAGCCACTAAAGACTATCAAGTCATGAATGAGTTCTAACTAGTCTCTGATTCTTGAAACTGTGAAACTCAAGTAAAAACATTGGCTCTGAAAATACTAAATGTAAGTTATAACCTAATGCATAATCCTTTCTGGCGTTTTTAAATCATCAATTGGCTTTGATCTAATGATATACTTCTGTTGATTACGAATGACTTCAAACTAGTTATATTAATCAACAATTGTTTTCAGCGAGCAGTTTATGCTGTGTGAACAAGCAAAATGTTTTCAGTTTTTATAGCGAACCATAACTTCACTCCATAAAAAACTTTTACTCGGTTGTAACTCAAAATAAATCCATTTTAATTACATAAGACAATCCTTAAAAAACATACATTTTTCGCTCGTCAACTACCTTTTATCGTTGTACTGAATTCACGTACAGGCTTTTTGGTGTTATGGAGAATCAGTTTAATCTAAGGTTTATATTGATGAATACTAAACATTAAGGAATCTGCACTATTTCGACAAAACCGATTATTCATCAGTGAATTAGACTGAGAAATAATGTTGTTCTTCGTTAAGTGGTTGGAGACAACCATCGGGAAACCCGAGACCCAGATTTCAGGATAGTTAGTGATTGCTCCTTAGTGGGTTCAAACCCATACCATCCAGTTTCACAATATGACAAGTTTCCACTGAGTTAATCAGGAAGCGACTAACCTCCTGTACTGCAATTAAAAGCTTTACCACTGAACCAAAAACGATCAGATGTTCTACCTTCTTACCAATGAAAAATTATTTTAAGTTTTCTTGAAGTAACTTATTTTTATTTTCATACTAATAAGATGATTATCATCTAAGAGTTATATACTGGAAAGATTTCTCCACAATAAATATTTCATCAAGCGGTAAGAATTGCAGAAAAGCATTTAGTGACCCATATGTCAATAAAAAAAATTTGATCTCGATCTCAGATAAAGAAAAGACAAGTTCAATAACACACAGAAATAACCCACATCAACTATTTAAAACACTGAGTGAAACCAATCGTATTGGTTATAAAGTCATTTTTTGCATCAATCATGAATACTATTCAAATAATGATGATCTAAATAAGAAGATTCAAACAACTAATACATAAAAATTGAGATTCACCAGATTCCATAAGCCAGTGGCTTTCTGGACTCAGTAGCTAAATGGATAAAGTGGTGGTGTCCGAAGCAAATGGTATTGGGTTCGAGTTCCAGAGTGAAAATCAACTCTGGAAAGCAAGAACATCTAGCTGACAGGACCCAAACAAGAAGAGACAGTCCTCACAAGATACATATACAAAAAGACACTGATCAATTGCAGTGGTGAATATCAATGGAAAGGTTCAAACAACTAATACATGAGATCATCAGATAGTTTATATTTCAGGATCTTACTCAGAATGACTACTTTTAGGTAATGAACTCAGTCAATGTTATTTTTGATTTTAGCTTATTACTGGATTAGATTAGTAGTAGAAATGAAACAAAGTAAATTTTAATCAAAATCAATACGTTTACAGTTTTAAGATGACATATATATATATACAAATTAATTTCGCCTTGTTACATACATGTGAAACTTCAGCATGATTAATACGTCAGTTACTTTGTTTAGTTTCATTTGATTTAAATATTTATATGTAATGTTTCTTACTACTGATAAATGCAAAACATTGTGACAGTGTAAAATGCTATTTTATCTATAGTAATATTCAAGTGTTACGCACAAAATTATATTTCATAATGGTTTTGTGGATATTATAGTAATTTCAGTGGTTGAGATCATGAGTCAGTTGAAGCTAGACCAACATGGAAAACCTGAAAGCACTAGACGGCCTTTTCGTCCCATTGTGGGACTCCTCAGCAGTGCGCATCCACGACCTCGCCACCTGCGAGACTCGAACCCAGGACCTACTGGTTTCGCACGCGAGCACTTAGCCACTAGACCACTGAGCCGGCATCCAACGTTGGAAAACATGGAAGCACTGGACAGCTGTTTCGTCCTATTGTGGGACTGCTCGGCAGTGAGCATCCACAACCTCGCCTCACGAGATTCGAACCCAGGACCTATCAGACCCGTACGCGAGCGCTTATATTATATTATATTTGTACATTTTTTATTTGTTTGAATAAATCAGTGAATATGTTATGTATTTAAGCTATACTGAATGGTACAAATTTAATTTGTCGTTCAATGTTTGTTATTCTTACTTCACAAAAATTTATCAAGAAAAACTCATTCCAGGAAATTACCTACGATCGTTCGATTCTCATTTGATAACTTATAACTTTGTCAGTTATGTAACTAAGCATATATGGGAAATATTGTGTGAACTTAGTACTGGATTTAAATGTAAAATCAGAGTCTTCTGCTAAATGATTGAAACTCATTAGATTTAATCACTAAGGTAGTTCCGTGATCATCAGAAAACATTTGATATTGTAGTGATTTTAAACCGCTTTACACATTTTCTTAGTCGAAAACATTACCATCAGGCGAATCAGACAGCATTTAAAAGGATTGAACTCTGTAAAAGTTAGACTAATCAAGAATAAGCCTGAAGGAATATGATCTCAACTAAACTCTTATATAGTATAAAGGTTATTGACATTATAACTCTTATATGGACTGCGAAAATAATGTTAAGGCTTTCGGTAAATATGTTAACTATGCTAAAGTGGCTGAACAGATAATCGAATGATAAAATCCAATCTTATGTAAATGAATTTACATAAAATTTGAAAGTGATGTGTGACTCAATTGAATGTATTTGTCGAATTGATAGGAAAATGATCGCTAAAGAATGAAAGATATAACTATGTATGATACATTATTCCTCTTGACTAAAATTTCATCAAAGTATAACTTATCGTCAATAAAGGTTTTAGTGTTTCACTCTGTTTATAATATGGATAGGAAGAGAACAATCCCTATTGGTATATGCGCATCCTGAGACAATTGATCTGGATGTTACTTTTGATTACATGTTTTTGGTGTATTCAGATTATGGCTGGCAGTTAAATCCTGAACACGTACTCAGCCCAATGTTTGAGTGGCCAGATGGATGTACTATCATCCAAATGTTAATATTTACTCTAAAGCTCAAATTTGTATCCTATCGATCCAAACAAACCATTAAGCTACTGATACTAAATAGTTAACTGCCTCTTGTTCGGGTGTAAAGTTCGATGTAAGAATTTGAATTTGTAATTGCTTAATCTAGTACTATACGTTAGAAATAAATATTCTGTGTCATTTTTCATGAATAAGCTGAGTTCCGACTAAAAAATGATTCGTCGCAAAACTGTATCTAATGTTAAAGTTTAGCACATTTTCTAATCTAAATTTTGTCAATATTTACTGACAATCATCAGCTGGATATTTCTGTAATCGGATAAAATATGAAATAATTTTCCCAAGCTACTAAGCATTTAACAAAACATAGTATGCCAATTTGTTCAGTGGTTATTTAATATCCTAACCAATTGTTTAATAGGAGAATCGAAATCACACTGAATTGACTGACACCTTTAAATCAATGAAATAAATTCAATCACTTTGGTTGATAAACAGTCGGTAAATGTGGTTCGATACAACGTGAGTACTTTACTAGTTAATTTTATTGTCATAACAATTACACTGCAAAATTAGCCTATAAGAAATGATTGGTTTAAATGTCTAAACAGTGTCATGTTCGTTTCAGAGATGATGAAATTCTCACTTTTCATCCCTGAAGACAATTGTTTCATGGTAGCTTTGACAGTTATCGTTCTCACTGATTGAAATCATGAGTCAATTGAAGCTAGACCACCATGAAAAACCTGGAATCACTGGACAACCGTTTCGTCCCACTGCGGGAGTCCTCAGCAGTGCGCCTTTAATTGACGGCTCAGTGGCCTAGTGGCTAATTGCTCGTGCGCAAAACCAATAGGTCCTGAGTCCAAATCTGGCAGAGGGCGAGGTCGTGGATGCGCAGTGCTGAGGAGTCCCATACTAGGACGAAACGACCGTCTAGTGCTTTCAGGTTTTCCATGTTGGTCTAGCTTCAATTGACTCATGATTTTAACCAGTGAAATTTCTAAAATCTCCACAAAACCCTTTCTGATGTTATTACTCGTGTCATGTAACTTGTCATTAGAACTTGTCAATCTTAATAATAAATAAAAAAATAGTTTGTTGGAATTATTTTCAGTAATTTTTTTCTCTTAATACAACTAGATAAAAACTAAAAAAAGAAAAAAAACAATCAAGTGACATCATTTGAAAAATCAATAACACAATAAAAAATGTTTAATCAAGTTTAATGTTTTTC